TAATTGTATGCAGCCAAGTTTATGCAATTCTCATGTTTTTTAGGCGAAAGACAGCATCTCAAACCTGAAGCTCAAAATGACTCATTCTTTTATTAGTCTTCATCCACTCCCTCACTACAGTGGATCCTATGGCTGCTTTTGACAAATATATTTTTAAAATTTAAAGTGATAAAAATGGTTTGTTTTCTGGTATTAGATATTCAAAAAGAACTGCTGCATAAAAAAATAATTTCCACATGTGCATTATTTTTATGCATAAAGTAATTTTTGTTTTGTATTCGTGTTTTTGCATATTTTAATGTTAGAATTCCTTTAGCATGGTCATTTTCGTATTTAAAGTAAAGGCTAAGATAGTCCTGGATATAATGTATGTGATGTTATTTCTTTAGTTTTTAATGGGTAATATATATAAAAAAGTATTTTGCAGCGTGGTGCATAGCCGCCATCTCTGTGGGTTTTTCATCATATTTTCCAATCTCCTAGTCTGTAATTTTTAGCCTTTACAAATGAAGTTGTTTCCCAGCAATAAATTTCATTTATTATGAAACAGAATTATTATTTCATTTATGATGAAACTTGTCTGATAGAAATGCATTCATGTTATAAATAAAGATTAGTTGTATTAAACTGAATCTGATCATATACACATACTTATGAATATCATAATTCATTAAAGAAACTATTCAAAACATTCAAGTACCGTTAGAACTTCTTAAATGGTCTTACAAAGAATGATTATGTGACTTTACGACTAAAGTACGTTTTATTGACATACAGTCTACTTAAATACTTGTAATAGGTAATCAAGAATCAGTTAAGTAAGTCGGTAAATATTTGTAATACAGTAAAATTTTTTCAATTAATCAAAATTTCCTTTTTTTGGTCCATCAGTTATCAAATACCAGCATTAAAATTATATATGAAATAATGATTTTGCATTTAATGGCGAACATATTTTAATTTATGAAAGACTATCTAAATCTTTCCTCTGTATTTAAGGTATTTACAAAATGCATATTTTAAAACCTGCTGCTAAAGAAATTAACTATGTGTAAGTATATATTCTTAATAAAAATAAAATACATTAAATGTTTACTATTTTTCTTTTTCCACTGCATGATAAAATTTAAAAATGGTTTTCTTCTGTTGTAAGCATTTGTTTATCTTCTTGAGAAAAAATTCACTTTGAAAATTAAAAACAAAGATTGATTGTTTCATTTGTTTTTGAGAATATGCCAAAATTTTAGATTTTTCTGAGATCTATTGCTACATTGTGATGCTTTCATCATTTCCATTGTAGTCATGATATATGTTAGTGTATTTTAGATCATAATTGTTGTATTGTCAGCTAAATTTGGGCAATATGATGTAATTGCATTCTTTCAAAATGTTATACTGCTACTGAATTAAGAATATGTTTGCCGAAAAGTGATTGAAAGATTTGTTTTAGCCCAGAGAGGTGTTACCCCAGAAGGGCTATTAGTCTCAAAACAGCATTTTGCGTCAAATAACTTTTCTAACTATTGCCAACAGATATTATCACCCTGTTTTATATTTAAGGAAATTAAATAATGAAGAATCTACATAAATGTGTGTATATTTCTCGCATTGCGAAAAAAACGACTGTACCTAGAGCCATTAGATTTTGAATAACGTAATCCTCCACTAGAAGCTGGTCACTTGGAAGCCAGAGTTTTAATTTGCTGTATGATCTATTTCATATTTTGTAAAACTTTAATGAATTTTTGATTAAAATACTCAGTGATTTCAAAGACATGACTGTACCTAGAGCCATTAGATTTTGAATAACATAATCCTCCATTTGGAAGACCGAATTTTAATTTTCTGTATTATCTATTTCATATTTTGTAAAACGTTAACGAATTTTTGATTAAAATACTCGGTGATTTCAAAGCAAGCAGTGGCAACACTGTACGGAATAAAACTTTTATACCTACAGCACACGAGACTGTCTTTTAGAATAGACAAAATTCTAAAGATATGCTGTTTTTAAATATCTTTAGAGCAAATGCTCTTGAAATGTGTATGTAGGTGTGAATGAGAAAAAAAAATTAAAATTAATTTAAACTCTTTTTATTAAAATTAAATTTAAACTCTTTTTAAAAAAAATTAAACTTAAAATTAGTTTTGTTTTTAATTTACTAAAATGAATACTTTTACAGGCAAGTAAAATCCATAAATTTTTTTGTATGATTTGAATGATGTTGCATAAGTCACAATAGCATACAGACAGCTAGTTTAATCAATGGAAAAAAAAAAACTACACTAAACTATGAATGCATTTTGCCTTTTCATACTTAATGGGAGCCCACCAGCGGCCGAGCGGTAAAGTCACTGAACACTGGTAGTTCGGTCCGAGGTTCGAATCCCGCGAACGGGCTGGCTGCATGGGTGTTTTCTTGTTTTTCCCCATGTGTAACATGTATACGAGTCAGTTTCCCTTAGAAAGTCCTCCACGAAGGCATCCCTCCCAATAAGCAGATAGCCCTCGAGGCTTGTCATAATCACACAAACAAACATACTTAATGGAGATATCAATCTTCATTCATTATTCATGAAAAGGAACAATGGAAGCTTAGTTTTCCCATCCTGCCATATTTTGTATGCATGCAAGAAAATACAGAATTTTACAATACAATTTTCACTAGAATACTTTTATTGGAAGAAATATATTTAATATCCTGCCATATACTAGATTAACATCTGACTGGAAACCATGTTATGCACCTAATGGGTAAATATTATCCAAGAATCAAAAGCATATATTGATGTAAAAAGCTATCAGAACAGTTATATTTTAGGAATATAAGATACATATATTTAATAAATGAGTTCTGCTTAAAAGAGAATAATTTTGACACTTATCAACTACTATTAAAGGAAGAATTATAAAAATAGGTAATAAAAATATTGATCTATCATAGAATGCTTTTTGTTAAACTTCATATGTTTTTAACAAAGTTTCTATTTGATTAAATGTTTAGTTTATTTAATTAATTTTTTATGCAATTGAATCTGAAAAGAGATTGTTAACTTTGTCATAAGGATAGTGTGCATAAAGAGATTGTTAATTTTGTCATAAGAATAGTGTGCATAAATATTGTAAGCAATATAAATAAAGTCTGTGGAATATTCTAATTTCTTAAATTATAAAAAGAGAAAAGTTTCACAGTACTTCCTTAGAATTATATTATGCATTTTTGCGTATATCGCGAAGGAAGTTATTTGCATTGTGACTGCCATAGCCATCTATCTCCCCCTTAAAATTCTAAGATGACGTTTAAAAAAATATGTTGGTATAAAAATGGACTTTGTATTTTTTGCTTAATATACTTTGTAATTTTTATAAAGATTAGGAATCATGAAGTAAGTATTTATATACAGTTGAAATAAGAGATACAAGCTAAGCCAGTGGTCTCAAATTGCCAAAAGCACAATTTGAAAGCAGCTGACGAACCAGAAGATTTTTTTAACAAAATTTTACATTTTTAACAAAACAAAAATGTGAATTAAATTGTTAAATTAACTTACTGAATATTTATTAATATGCATGTAAACAATAATAACCCAAATGAAAAATTCTCAATTTATATTTATTTCCTGTTTGAAATCTAAAGGTTGATATCTGCAAGAAATTTGTATTGGTTACATTTTATAATTCAAATACACTGGCAGTTAAATTTTAGATTGATATTTATTTCAAATAATTCCAATATGTTGAATTACCATTAAATAACTTATTTTTAACCTTAACTGGAAATTTCAGGCTACTATAAGCTGTCAGCTAGCAAACTAAATTTACTGACAGTATGAACATAAGAAATTTTCCGGTCTTACCTTAGTCAGTGGCTTGCCACACAGTCGTACAATAACACCAGTCACGTGCAATAAACTCAGTCCATATCTTTGTCTCTGAAAGCCCATATTTGCAACAAGTACATGTAGCAAGCACCAGACCACATAATTGAAATGTACTCGCAGGCTGCATAAAATTGCCTCAGGGATCACGAGTTTGAGACCACTGACTTAAGCTGCCTTTATCATGTTTCACAGTATAATTTATTATGCTTTTTTCATTAAAGACAGAAAATAATTTAGAAGTTTTAATTTTTTAACCAGATATCAATTTATTGTTTTCTTTAGTTTTTGTTTCTGGTTGCTTACCAGTTAGTAAATTTCTAATAAACAATTCCATTCACCATCAGTTTTTAAGGTTTAAGTATTACAATTTTGGTTTTACTACTGTCACTTAAATTAGTTCCTCAAATTTAAGTGTGATAAGTTTGGAGCCTTTTAATAATTGTCATGAAAAACAAAGTGGTGCTTTTATTAGTATTTTTAAAACACTGAATATGCACAGGATTACATGTAAATAATCTTAACTGGCTGATAAAAACAAGTGGTGCATGAAACTTATTAGTGAAGAGGCTTTATTATTTTGTATAGTAAAGGTTACTCATAGCCACTCCATTTCCTTTACACCTCCACAGTATCAATATGTGATTTCATTTTGCAGTTTACTTTACTTAAAAAATAGCATGACTTACATAAAACTTTTTAGTATTTTTTATTCCATTTTAAAAAGTATGGCTGAAAGCAAATGCAGAAAATAAATGAGTAAATATACACATAAAGGTATTAATGTAAACTTTATTTGAATATAATTTATTTTTAGAAGCTTAAATGTAAAAAAGAACTAGAAATGTAATAACAGCTTTATAACTAATAATTAATGATACATTATTTACATGTTTGTGATTAGCAAAAACACCATATGCTAAGTCAAGGTTCAAGGCACTTCAAAAGTAAATATGCTTTTACAAGTAGAGGAAGCGTTTTCTTCATTCTTCTGTAATCAAAAAAAAGGTAGACTTTAGAATAAGATTTAAAATTAGAGAAGTTATATTTTAAATGCAAACTTCAGTTTGAAACTAGAAGATATTTTATATGCTAATTAATACTTCATATCAATCAAAATATTTCATATCATACCATAATTGTTTTTATTAAAATACAGACAAAGACCACTGACAAAAAAAGATATTTCTTGTAACTGGACTTATGTTAATAATTCAGGTAAAAATAAATAATTTATAACATGATAAACATGGAGCTAAAAATGAAATGAAGGTTATTGAAGAAAATTACTGCATGAAAAGGCATTTTAAGCTTCAACCTCTCATGCATTTTGCTTTCTGTTAATTTGTATAGAACTTCTCCAATCACAGTTTTAGTGATGAGTTTTTTACAAGAACATTGTAAATGTATTTAATGTATTTATACTAGGTGAAATATGTATGTCTCTGTCTGCTCTGTATGTGAAGTTATTTATCATAAAATCATCACATTATTTCTTGCCATGGAAGAAAGAAAATGGTAGTACCAGAAATAAATATATTATTGCCTATTATACCATAGTATCTTTAATATACCTTTAGAATTTTAATATTGTTTGTCAGATAGTATTGGGACCAGTGTAGCCATATCAGGCAGTAACTTTTTTAATTTTAGGTAGGAACCGGGTGGCAAAAAAATTGGGATCTCGGAGTTTGCAACAGAAGGCCTACCTCCAGCCCTGGATAGTATATTATTATTAGGTTAATCATAATTTGATAATTCTTAGTAATAACAGATTTGCTCATAGATTATCTGACATTTAATCAGCTCTTTAACTGTTACTTACAAATATCAGTATCATTAGTTATATTTCTCAATCTTTTGGATAAAAATAAAGAAAATAAATCATAATTTGGATAATCTCCAAAGTTGCTTTAAGAAGTTCAAATGTGACACAATGAGTTTGTAAAGTCAATAGATTTTTTGAAGTAGGAAAGGTGAAAAATCAGCAATGTTCGCACCTGGATTCAAACTCCGAACCTCCTGACTGCACACTGGATGTGTTTCCAATTACACTATAAAGGCATACAATAAGGAGGGGCAAAACTCCTTACAAGGTATATATGCAAATGATTCATACATTCTTAAATTGTTATAATAAGATTTTTATTATTAGATCCAGAAAGTTGTAAATTGTATCATTTGAAAGTATGATATCTAAGGATATTTAATGTGATTCTGTAACCAAACTCATCCCATTATGCTGTTAATATGTCATTATAAATTCTGTAATAATTTGAACATTTAATGTGTTGGTGTCTAAACTGAAAATTTTGATTTAATATCACCCACTTTGGCACTGTCCAAACTGAATCTTCATTTGCACTTCTATGTACCTAGCTTTAAAAATGAAGAGGCCACCTTCATCTATAAGGTAAGCCCTTAACTTATTTTCAAGCATATTTATAATTTTTACACTGTAATTATATTCATATTAGTAAAATGGGAACACATTAAAAAAATACTGCACTTAATGGCTAAAACAGTATTGTACATGTTGGGTGTCCTAGAGCATGAATGAGAGATGTGATGGGATTAACACATTGAAGCATCAACCCTATCACATGCTAGATAACGACTTTTCACTGGAACTGTAAGCCATACTCTAAGTGTTTCTGCCTCACATACTGGTCTCAAATCAACTGAACTGATGATGATCAGAACTTTGGAAATTGCATGTATGTTTCTCAACTATACTTAAAATGTTCGTGATTTAGCAATTTTTCTTCAGACTGTGCAAGAGCCATAAAAAATTGTAGGTGATTAGCCAAAAATTATGCAGTATTTATAGAACTCATTCAAAAGCAAAATCTTTAACATCTTTGCAACAACATTTTCCCACTAGAGCCTGTGGGATGTCTCTGAAATATATACAGTCAAAAGTCTTAATCCGGACTCGTCGGCACTTCGGCGATTCTGGATTATCAATTTTTCCGGATTGTAGATCATCATTAAATCTGGTAAGATGGCATGCAAAATTATAAAATTAAAAATATTAAACCGTAATTTATGAAATAAAAGCAATTATGACCTAAAGGATATCAAAATTTACAAAAAAGCTTAATATTTATTTGTTTACTTTATTAACATTTCTTTCAAACGCGCATGCGTAAAGCATACATTACGCATAGTCGAAATTAGAAAATTGTGACCAGAAACTATTTGATGTGTACTCGTGATATTTATAATGACAAGAATTTGATTTAAATTTATCAAAGATGGAATACACCGAGATGAAATACTAATTTAGTAAGGAATTATAAGCTGAATAAAAATAAGGGGTAGTGCTGACAATCAACTTCCAGTTCATTGCGTGCTGCGACGTTCCCCACCCCCACCCCGCGGAGCAGCGGTGAATTGATAAACAGATTTTGGAATGATTAGAGAAACAAAGGAATGCCTTTATCCATTTTTGCAGCAATTCCACTTTTGGTTTGATGGACATCGAAACATGCTTTCGCTTTTAGATCCTTTGGTAGCTCCGGAATCGGAATTCTTTTGACACAAATCGAAAGTTCAAGCTTCGTTTATAAAATTGGTATAACATTTTACAAAAAATAATAAGCCGTATCCAATTAGAAGATTAAGGAACAACACAATCTGCAACATTAACTGAAATGAAATAGATTATTTTAGCTTAGCTTATACCGTCCGTTATACATTAACGCGCATGCGTAACGTATTATGCATATGCTATGTGCGCGCATGCGCGGAAAATTTGTAGCTTTGAGGTCCGGATTATGGGTATCCAGATTAACGACTTTTGACTGTATATATTCTTCACTATATTTTATAAGTTCAATCAGCATTGTATTGTATTCTTCACCTTTTTCCATTTAGAAAAACTAGTGATGATTAAGACAACATGATAAACAGGCTTGAAAAAAGACTAGCTCCAAAAATGCAAGGCACTTAACATTGACATTTGTAGACGTGCAAGAATTCCTGTTGTGACTAAAAATGTTGGAAGTTGGGAGTGACTTGCAAATGGAATTATATAATCACCCATCATTTTCAATCTTAAGATTAAAGGTGGAGGAGGGGCAAGAAGAAACTTAAACCTTTTCACTATTGGAAAAGTAGTTACTAGTATGTTACTAGAATGAGTTTCCATGCCATTAGTGCATATCCTTTATGTTAAGTGCCTTGCATTTTTGGAACTGTCATCGTGTCCATGTAAATCACAAGAGAATTTTGTTGAAAAAGCAGAGGGCTATTATAGAATACTTATATAAATAGCATCGACAACTTAACGTGGTGGGAGCATGTGCAATGTACATTTTAAAGGTTTAAAATGATTCATGTTATTATACTGGCTACTGTTACTTAAATTATTTCATAATGCATCACTTTGTATATCATAGCCTATATCTGTATTAACCAGCACTGAAAACAAGGTGATGTTACTATATAGATGAAAGCTACTTAATAGTAGAAATAAAGAAGTAATTTGCTTTAACAAGGTGTATTTATTAGTTAATTTAATTATTACTATGAGGACTTAAGAATAAAGACAATATTGATGATGCCTCATTCGGTATTTTAACATAAATTTAATAATAAATTATCAGTTTGAGTTTTTTATTGGCAATTATGAAATAATGATAGATATAATTTAGTATGTTTGAATGTGATATAAGAATACTTTCACATTCCAGCATTAGTCAGAAGTTAATGGGATTCATATAACCTATCATTTTTGCAGCAAATAATGTATCTTCGTAATTTATTTTTTCGTGCAGATATATAAGGAGAGAGTGTTTTCCAATGAATTTTAATTTGTTATTAATAGAGTTTTTAGTGTTTCATCCTCATCTTGTGATGTTTTTGTTAGCAGTGTGATTTAGCCACATAATTGTGTCATAAATATATGTGCACTAGTCTTCAATTCTCTAAACAATATGCATTCTACAGGCACATATATCTATCATATGAAAAAGTATTTCATAGTCTTTTTGTGTTGAACCAATTGTACCAATTCAATATGTTGATGCCCACCAGCGGCCGAGCGGTAAAGTCGCTGAACACTGGTAGTTCGGTCCGAGGTTCGAATCCCGCGAACGGGCTGGCTGCATGGGTGTTTTCGTGGTTTTCCCCATGTGTAGCGTGTATACGAGCCAGTTTCCCTTAGAAAGTCCTCCACAAAAGGCATCCCTCCCCTTAGGCAGATAGCCCTAGTGTGCTTTGCCATAATTAAATACAATTCAAATTCAATATGTTGATGGTTGCTAGATGTAATAACTGCTAGCCAGAATGAAGCAATTGGTGGATGTTGGATATAACTGGCACTAATCATGAAAGGGTTAGTCATATGCTTAATATTTTATTTTGCTTTTCTCAGAATATTAGCAGAATTACTGCCAGCCAACTTCTACTAGTTGAAGCCTTTTTGCTAATCAGAAGCTAAGAAACACTGCTGTTCATTTCCATTATGATTCTGATAAGCAACTGAGTCTTTGCCAGAAGTAGAATTGCAACAATTTGTAAAATATTCTCATCATTTCATTTGAAACTACTAAAAAATTCCATACAGAAACTTTTCACAATCATAGCTTTCTGTTTAGTTAATTACTAAAAGGTACAAAATTTAATGCTCATGTGCTATTCAACAAAGGCTCTTTTTTCATATATCAGCAACCATGAAACATCTGATTAGGATTACCAGGACATACAGAACTGACCAAGTAACATAACTGAAGGGGGTAGCACAGAGAGGTCAGGAATTGCAGTAGATCTGCTATACATATGCATTCTCTATGCACTCATTCTTCTAAACTTTTAGATCCTATCATGTTACTTTCAATTACATACCTTCCTGTAAAATTTATTTATTGTACTGTTCTACAAAGATAGCATTGTATATTCCTCCAGTATTTTAAGCATGTTTATATGCTTTTTTGACTGTTTTATGATAACATTGTACAATACATGCACAAATAGGAAATTATTTTGTGTGAATAAAGCAAATATTATTGAAACTGGTAAGTCCTTGTAAATACACAAACATAACATATTAAAAAGCACACATACAAACATGTCTTTATGTGTACTTTTCAATGTGCTATGTTTAACATTTATCCCATCTCTTCAGAAATAGTTATACACTGCATATTTTTCCCTTCTAATTTTCAAGTGGTATAACTAGAAAAGAGGGGGAATATGTGAATAAATATAGTATATAATTGTGAGAAGTAACTCCTAATTGCTTGAAATCACTATATCAAGTGAAATAAAAGTAATTATTTATTTTATAAAAACCATAAACAACTCACCAAACTTTCTCGACATAATTTCCTGGGAAAATGCCAAATACTCCAGTTCGTACAGATGTTCCTAGGTACCATCCATCATCACACATTTCCATTACACAAATGGTATCACCTTCCTGAAGTTCCAGCTCATCAGAATTTTGAGGGCTATAACTGTAAATAGCTCGATACCTAGAAAATATGAGTTGCAATTTTTTATAGCATATAAATGACATTAATAAACAAGTTTCTTATAACTGAGAAAATATAGTTAGGGAATGCGATATCTATTCTTACACACCCTGCTTATTGCAAAATCAAATAAAATGAAAGTATCAACATAATTTTTAAATGCATTGTATAAAGCAGGAAAATTTTCATAATGCCAGATTTTTAGTAAATGAAAATGTATGCATTTATAATTAATGTACACTAAATGCCAAAGCATAATAATTAGTACTAATCATAAACTTCATGAGATTCTTTAATTTTCTACAAAATACAGCACAGTTATTCATATTGATTAATGACCAAACCAATAATGACTTGATTAGAATGAAGATTATCACTTTGGTTTAAAAAATGTCACAAATTTCTACTTTGTAATATAGTACAATAAATTGAAGAAAAAATATCTTTACACTATATGCAGACATCAAGAGAATATTCAAATCATTTACACCAGTAATTCCACTTAAAAGTAGAATAGGTTGTTTTGAGTATAGGAATTGCCTGCTTCCTCATTGTTCTTTTGTATGGGGGGCTTTACTATGCCTCATTGAGAAAACAGCAATAGTTTGGGCAAGTTTCTGAGTCTGATGAAAGAATTATTATTAATTACACAGATTTCAGATTATCTTTCCAAGAAGTAGTGCTCATTTTAGATAAAATCAGGCCATAGTAATGGGAATGTAAAAATTTGTAAGTTCTGAAGGAGAGGGAAAAAAAAAGACCAAAAATAACAACCATGTTAGTCTTATCGCAGAAGTCAAATAACACGAATCAGTGTAATATTAATTTTGCAGGAATAGTTTCAATGGTTTAACTGCAGAACCATCTTCCTCAGCTGCCTAAGTTTAAATGAACAAAATACAGTGATAAGATAAGAAATTATTAACCAAGCAGTTAGAAAATTCTCATCTCGACACATCAAAAGGCACTCTCTTGTTTTAGGAGAAAGAACTATGTTGATTAGCTATAAAATTGCGCTTATTTTACAGTAATTTAACTTTCAGGTCATTTTTTCTCCTGTCTAAAATTCCCAGTTCCATACTTAAGGATCCCATTCTGGATATGAATTCCTGTGGTATTTACATGATTCCTTGCCAATGTGGTTTAATTTACATTGGTCAAACTAATAGAGCCATATTAAAAAACATGAGAAATATGTTAGAAAAAAGTAAAGAAATTCTCTGTTGTCCAGCAGTACTGGTCCAAAAATCACACTTTTAATATTTCTGCAGCCAAAATTATTCAAAAAACATCTTCCATTGGTGAATTAGATTTTATTGAGACGTTTTACATTCAAAAAAATCTTCCTCTTCTAGTCAACCGTATTTCCAATCCATCTTTACCTTCAGCTTTTAATGAAATTATGTTTTAGTTTTCTTGTTTCATCAATAGATGGTGCCAGTAGCTTAACTCCTGTCTAGACAATCTTAGCTTATCTTATCACCATACTTATCTCGTTCATTTGCACTTAGGCAGCTGAGGAAAATGACTAGTCTTGCAAAATTTACAAATATTATGCTGATTCTTGTTGTTTGACTTCTCCAATAATCCTTATCTTATCACCATACTTATCTTGTTCATTTGCACTTAGGCAGCTGAGGAAAATGGTTCTATAGTTAAATCATCAAAACTAGTCTTGTAAAATTTACAAATATTATGCTGATTCTTGTTGTTTGACTTCTCCAATAATCATTATTCAACGTGCCATTTTAACCTAAATTACAGTAGTCTTGTCCGAACAAGAAGGTAGGCACATAGCAATGACAGATTGCTCAGCAACATCATGATGGTAGCACAAGAATTATTATTAAACAACTTGTGTAAAGGAATCTTTGCAAGGCACTCATTGATAGGATTATCAGCAACTACAGGCATATGCGGCTTGTATGTTGAATGCAAGATACAGACAAATGTATAATATCTTTTCAAACCAATCTCATTTCTGCCTACAGCACTGCAGTGATTGCATCCAAGCCTAGCAGATACCAATGACAGATCTCATACTATTGGATTATGCATCACCATACAAATCTGCCATCTAAAATTATGATTTGGGGTGCCACTGAATTTTACTCCTGCACCTCCCTAATATGTATTGCTGACATACTTAATAGCTACCACTACACATCTGAAGTTTGATTTTGTGCTCCTGTCTTACTTTCAAGATCTGCCAGTGGCCCCGTTTCAGCAGTTAAATACATGACAGGCAATATTTAATAATACTTTACTTGCTAACTAGGTCCCATTATTGCTTTGACCCACATATTTTCCTGACATGTCATCCATCAAATATGTCTTGGTTGATGGCTGGCGAATAAGTGTCCCAGCATTACAGCACCTGCATCTGGTGAACTTTGACAGCATAGACTAACATACTCCAAGCTCAAGCGTAAAGACGCTTTCTTTAAATGTAAAGGCTATATAAAATGCTCTTTTCTTCATGATCTATAAGTCAAATGATCAGTTTACTCTCGTTTTTTGTTCTTCATGATGCAGCATTTTAGATGGTACGTATTTTTATTTTGTTGCATTTAATTTTAGATATTGGAATGTAGTTGTAATGAAAGATTAGAAATAACTGATTGCAAGTTTATCATAGTAGTGTATTAAAATTTTAATTAAAAAAATACAATTTTACCCCTTATATGTCTAATTTCAGTTATCAAAAGTTTATAGCAGAAAAAAAAAAAAATACATTAGATTATTATTTGAACAAAGTGCACAAGCGATATCTAACTAAGGTAAAGGATGCTTTAGTGGGAAAATTTCAAATGGAAACTAGCTTGAATTCAGTTACACATGCAAAAAACCATGAAAGGTAACTATGCAGCTAGCCTGTTTACCCGAGTTTACGCTACTAGTATTCAATAGTTTTAATTCCTTGGCTGCTGGTGGGACTGATAAAAAAGGATGCAGTTTAAATGCATACTACGTGACAACTGGCCTTAATAATGAAATCAAGAGCTCAAGCATAAATAAAAAGCTGCAATCTTCCCAGCAGTTTCAGGACTATAAACATCTGCATGCTGGTTTCAGTTGGTAAATGAAGATAGTCATTATGAGCTCCAATGTATGTTGTGTACTTGCAGATCATCCTTCATATTCATATGTTTAGCTCACAATTTGCTCAGTAGCTATACATACACCAACAACTATGATTATTAGTAGTCAGAGAGTACTTGGCTCATCTTTGTTTCTATAACCGGACTTCTCCATTAAATTTCCCTCCACTCTACTTTTAGCATTCTATCTGTTGTATATGCTGGGTTATCCACACTACTTTTCTCATTGCTCTGTTGTAAAAAGAATGAGTTTTACTTTTACCATCCCTTGAGATAATGTAATATACACTTAATCTAAGATTAGTATAATATACTCTTTTCTCTCACTTTCTTTTGCAGATTATGCTTGAAGCTGTAAATACTTTTAAATTTTCTTTGTGGAATGTCTTACTGATACAACTCACTCCCCCTCACCAGAATACAGAATTACTTTTCACATTATACAGTATTAGGGAGAAGGAAATATTTTGCTATACAGTTTCATTTGTAATATACCAATACTATATTTGGGTAGATTTAGGAGAAAAAAAGCAACTATAGGCTTCAAAAAAGAAATTCTTTTCAGTGTTTTCTTAGAAAAATTATTAAATTTGAATGCAGGAATTTGAAATAGAACTGTTATTTCATGAAGTTTTGATGAGTACTGCTTTTTAGTTTTTATTGTAGCTTTTGTTGTTATACCATAAAATGCTTGTTTATTTTTTATTTAATGATACCCTAAATATTTATTAAGCTCTTTTTTTATAATGTATGTTGTAGGATTCAAAAGTTTCCGGACTGAGTCTATAACATAAGAATTTTTTGCAATAGTGTGACTACGAGAACGTTTTTGTGTTACTACGTGCCCCTTTTCTAAAAGTGGTTTGTCCCAAATCACATGGTCGAAAGCTTGCGGCAACGGCATTTTTTATAGACAGGTGCATTTAGTAACTTGCGATAGAAATAAATGGCGTCAGTTGGGCAGAGAATCAATATCAAATTTTGTGTTCCCTACGGAACGAGTGCTACAGAGACTTTTGCCAAAGATGACGAATGCTTTGGCTGTCCCATGATTTTCCACACTGATGAAAACATCAAAAAGATGTCTACAGCAGTACGTGCAAACAGGCAGCAGACAATCTGCCAAATAGCAGAATCAGTCGGGATATCAGAGGCCACATGTCAGCGGATACTGATCTTAACATGCATAGGGTGTGTCAACACTTTGTTCCCCGCATGTTAAACGTAGACCAAAAGGGAATTCGAATGGAAATGGCAGGAGACTTGATCTCGGCTGTTGACAAAGATCTTTCACTACTTAGCAGAATTGTTACAGGAGATAAGAAATGGTGTTTTTTGTATGACCTGCAAACCAAGAGAGCATCAGCAACGTGAAAATCACCACAATCTCCATGGAAGCAGAAATTCCGCCAAGATCGCTCTAAAGGAAAAGTCATGCTAGAGGTATTCTTCGATATCCAGGGCATTGTGCATCTGGAATTTATCCCTGAAGGACGCACTGTGAACAAAGAACTCTACATCGAAATCCTGCGTCCTTTGCGTAAGTTGATCCAGAAGAAGAGACCAAAAATGTGGGCTCAGTAGTCATGGGTGCTGTTGCATGACAACACTCCTGCTCACCGATCCCTACTCATAAATGACTTTCTTGCAAAAATGAAAACAGCAGTTTTGCCTCATCCTTCTTACTCACCTGATCTCGCACCCTGCGATTTCTTCCTATTTCTTGAACTGGCAAGATGCTTTCAGGGTCGTCGATTTCCATCCTTAGGTGAAATTAAATGTGCATCACAAGTTGAATTAAAGGACATGGCTAAAAATGTATTTCAGATATGCTTCGATGAACTTTACAGATGCTGGTATAAGTGTGCTGTTGCATAAGGGTCTTATATCAAAGGAAGATGTGTTTCTGCAATTTAATTCATATTTTTTATGTTATAGACTCAGTCTGGGATTTTTGAATCCTACCTCGTATAAAGCATGATTCTATCCTGATTTTGAACCTGAAATACAACTAAATTTGCTCTATTTTGAAGATTATTTACTAAAAAACATAAATGTAGAAATTACAAGATAGAACTAATTTCATATTTTTGAAAATATCATTTTAAAAATGGTTTTAATACTTACATGACTGGTTCAACAAGACAACTGCCTTTTCTGCCCCTCTGAAATTTCTCCCTTCCCTCTGTTACCTAAAGAATAGATTTTATACAATAAGAATTATGAATAATTGGTTCAGAATTAATAGGATTATTAAAATTTACAATACATAGAATTTGCCAATGGAAAAATAATTTTTAGTTTTCCATATATTTGTTTAGAAAATTAGTATGTTATTCCTAAAAATGTCTATTAAAAAAGAATGACCTTAAATAATTATTATAATGACCTTTATGATAATTATTCTAACTTCATTATTATAACCATTCTAACTTTGAATAATTATTCAACAAATTACATAACTAGATTTCATTATTATAACTAGAAAAGCAATTGAAAATGCATTATTATATTTAAGAATAGAGATAAATTCATAAATATAAAGTAAAATGTGCTTCAGATTCCAGTTGTAACTTCAGAAAGTATTTTCTTTTATTATTAATAAGTAATAACATTACATATGTACAATTTTTTAGATTAAATATAAAAATATACTTTTTTGAAAAATAATTACCTTTTTAATATAGATTAGCATACACATGCTATTAAACAGTTGACCAATGAAAGATATTTCTCTTAACAAAAAATCGTCCCCCTATAATATTGCAAAATTTGGCAGCTGAAACTATTGTGTTTCATTCTGAGAAAGTTCCATTATATAACTGTATATATAAAAGTCCTTAAGCAGCCTTTATTTTTGCAAATACTGAGTGTAGACATTTTTTTCCAACTACAAAAAATATTTTAATTTATGCAATTACTCTTTTTTTTTTTTTTCATTTCATTTCCAAATTGAAGAATCAGTTTTGTAAAAATTTTTAAATATAATTTTTATAGGTTCTCCAGTTTTTATACTTATATTCAGTATAATTATACAATCATTATAAAAAATAATGATTTTCTGGCATCATATACTATATAGACCCACTTAATAGTGCTGGATGGTTAAGCAAAATCAAAAATTAGTCTAGATATCATAATAAATCAACTAACTATATTCTAATGTCGTGCACTTATATATATTACTTCACAAAAGGAAACAGATACTTTGTACATGAAAATCACACTATTTCCAGAAACCGTACAGTTACTTGGCTGCTTGGAGCAAGATTTGAACCCTGTGGAGAATGTGTGTGTAACTGCCACTTTGTATAATGAAAACCTAGGAGATTTCTGTCCTGCACAGGAACACAACATCACATCAACAAATTTGAATTAAAAGTTATTTTATAATGCCTCACAAGAAATACACTCTGTTGAAAAAAAAAAAAAAAATGCACCCAGAAATGAGCCCCACAACTATGACACTCAGATAATATAGTGTTTAAGTAGATAAACAAATGATCGAAAACTTTAGTGAAAAAAGCTTTTATTTACGAGTAGCAATACAAAGAATGTAAAAATCAATAGGTAGTAAAGCCACCCCTGTCAGCTATACAAGCTGATATTTGGTTGGACATGGGAGTCTATTAAGTTGCCAATTTCTCAGTGATAGATTGGGCCACAAATAAAGCACTGATCAGCAAATTAGGATTATTTGTATATGGTTGAATTTTCCTGCTCAACATCTGGAGACCTGGCTGGCCAGTAGAGGACACTAAAACATCGAAGGCATAGTTGGGAAAGTTGTGCTGTATGTCACTGAGCATTGTCTTGCTGGAAACAGAGCCTGAGGACTTGCTAGCATAGGCAGTATAATCGACTTCAAAATGTCAACATACCTGCCAGCAGTCAAAGTACCTCTCAGCACAACTAATGGTGAATAGCTGTTCCAGCTGATCTCTCCCCAGACTGTCATATCCTCTTTCAAGCTATATGCTGCTCAGTAACAAATGGTACATTGGACTGCTCACCTCCCAGATATGTATGCGGCTGTCATCAGCATTGACAGAAAAGCATGATTTGTTGCTGAAGATCACATTTCTCCAATTAGACACTGTCTAGCTTGAGCAAGAGTGATACCATATAAGATGACACTGCTTATGGTGGAGTGTCAATGGCAAGCACCTTAATGGATATCGAGATCCGAGCCCAGCATTGCACATTCTTCTGTGAATCATATCCCTGGATATCCAGAAATCCCTATGACTTATGGCACTTAATCACAAATGGCACTGAATCAATGATAATGTAACTGCTGGTGCAGACATAGCAGCTCTTCTAACTGCACAATCATCTGACACATTCATTGATGGCCGGGAACGAGCCACTATGGCTGCTGACTGTGCCTTCGCCTTCATTCCAACAATGGACAATGACCATACTGCTTCGATCAATATGCTGACCAATTCAATCAACCAGCCTCTTTTAGCCCTATGATGGATCAGCATAGTTGTAAATACTTGTCACTCGCCACACCTGCCCTTTTAATTTCTACCAGCTGCATGCTTCAGGCACACGTTGTATAGCTCCACAGTGCTGACTGATGCTGAAAGTTTAATCATTTACACAACTTGCCAAACCACATTTGCATGCCATGTTTCGTAATTGTGGCTCGATTTTTTCTGGGTGCATATATTTTTTTTGCAACAGAAGGTATATGTTAATAATTAATTTAATATTCTAAATTTTATTTTATATTATGTTTATGGATTAATTGCTTTTGATTTTGTAATTTTCTTAAAATTTTATATTAAAACTTAGGAACAGGGAAAAAAGCTTTTATTTATCAAAATATTTTTAAATATGGTTAAAATAAGGATAACAATTAATGTATATATAATTGCATATAAAATAGAGTAATATTACATTTATAACATTTAAAAAAAAATTGGTACTTTTCCGTTTCGCCGGCGCAAATCTCGCCAAGCAGACTTTGTTGGCGACAACATACAGTATACACATAAAAAATGTTAATTCTAAGAATTTTTTTTTTTATTTTGAAGGCATAAACATTTTAATATGGTTTAAAATTTTGTAAAAAGCCAATAAATAAAGACAATAAATTTGTAAAAAGACATTAATTTAAGAATTTACTATGATTTCATGGTTCAAAATCCTGATTCGCCGGTTCGTATCACGTGACCCCAAGTGATCTCATCTCACGTAAACTACGCTACTAAAATCTAATTCGCTCAGTAATTATCTACATTAATTTCAAGTTAAATCTTAATTTGGAATACAAGTTTAAATGCAAGAATTATTTTAATTCGTACGAATAGCTTACTCAGAACTTATGTAAAACTGCAGTGCTTTACTTCGCTAGTGCATTCTCATTAGAATTGATGAATTTAACACTTGATTTCGCCTTCGGATGAGCGGTGTAATTGCGTTCTAATTGACTTAGAACTAATTGACTTATTACCGTGAATTGTCTTAGGGGATAAAATTTAAATATCGTGTAAAAATTCTATATGCCAGTATTGAAAGAAACAATCTGATAAGAAATGGCTTCAACTTGTTTTGAAACTGAGGCGTAAAAGGTTACCAGCGAAGATATTTCGTCTGGCATCAGTTAAACCATTATTGGCGACTTTATCGTTTGCGCCGGCAAAACGGAAAAGTACCAAAAAATTAAATAACTTAGCAAAATCCCTCAATTTTTTTAGTCCAAAGGGGCTTTGTCCTTGACAGACCATTGTTTTCGTTTTGCGATTTTGCAAAGAAAACTTTAAAAGGCTGTATCACTTTTCAAATCGTTGCCACCAAATACTATCGCCCTGTATTATATTTGAAAAAATTAAATAATGAAGAAACTGCATAAATGTATGTATGTTTCTCGTATTGTGATAAAACAACAGTACCTAGAGATATCCAGTTTTGAATGACATAATCCTATTGCAAATATGGGCATCTGAAAGCCCAAATTTGAAATTAGGAATTTGTTTTATTATCGATTTCATATTTTGTAAAACTTTAACAAATTTTTTATTAACAAACTTAATGATCTAAAAGCAAGCAATGGCAAAACTCTACGGGGGAAAAAACCTTTTTATTTACAGTGTGCGGAACTGTGTATCAGAAATTCTAAAGATATGCTCATTTTAAAATTATTTTGCGACATTGCTGTTGAACTGAATTTTATGGTTTAAGTGCAAAGAACATGATATGTAATAAATAAAGGTAACACAGAAAACATTTTAAAAATGCCCATGCCCCTTTGGATGTAATTTAAAATCTGAAACCTTTCCGATTTTTTTAATAATGTATTACAGTAAAAATTCTACATGTAAATTGTGAAAAATGAATAATAATATTTTATCTTGAAATCTCTTAAAAAGTTAACATGATTTTTTATATGAATCTTAAATATTTCATTACTACTCAAAAAAAAAGTTATATATATTTGAAATACTCCAAGAAGAAAATTTTATTGAATCTTACTGAGATAGGACTTGGTGTGCTTGCAGAATAAGGTGAAGGAGGATTAGAACTTGATTTTAGCAATTTATCATTGACTGCAGAATTACACCTGTAATGCACGAATGTTTTTACAAAATGCATGCAAAACACATTTATCAACACTATAAACATAAAATTATCAGAAAGTGATACAAATACGGAGAAATATAAGAACCTAGACATACTTAATAATTTCAAGTTTTAACTAGCTTCAAGTTAAGTTTTATAACTAGAATTCTATTCAAAATTTTAAATGTGTTATAGAGAGCTGGAAATCACTTTATAATTTATTATTAAGTTATTCCCAATGACAATATAAATATTAAAAAAATATTTGGATTAATATCAGTTTTTGAAGCATAGTTTTATTTGAAGATAAATTTCAGAACTTAATGTGCAATATAGTTTGTTTTAATATAATCCAAGTGACTGGCTGTATGATTGAGATTTTTAGGAATAACTTTTATGAATGGCATGAATAATAACTTCTAAAATAAAGGGGAAAAAAGAATAATCATATTTAGAGGTAATTTGGCAGAAATGACAAAAACAGTGTTTCAAATGTATATATAATTAAAGCATAATATCACTAATATTATTTTTAAAGTATATTTTAGAAAATTCAAAATAAAGACCTAAAGCAACCAAAATTTTAATACAACAATAAATTTTGGAGTAAACTTGCTGCAATATGAAGGGTAATTCCCTCAAAACTGATAGCTTTATTTAAAAAGAGAAGTAAAAAAGAAACTAATACGAACCTAAGTTGATTTTTGTTAATTTTTTTTTACTCCTTAGATCCTAGCATCTGCAATTTAGCAACAAAGTAAGCTCATATTTCCATTACCCGGTTTAAATGAAATTGATAGTTTCTATAAAACTAATACCAGGCTAAAATTGAATTTTGCTTAATTTCATTACTTGATGCTGCTGTATGTCTCTTCTGTACAGTCTAAAAAATGCCTATCAAGATGATTGTTATATATTTATTTCCTGCTGATTATTTTTATCTCAAACATGGAAAGCTGATCTTTTAGGTATAAGTACTTTAAAATTTTTCCAATATATGTTTATAGCTAAGCCTAAAATTATTCATATTATTTAGTACAGTCAAAAGTCTTTAATCCGGACATCCATAATCCGGAATGATCTATAATCCGGACTTCAAAGCTACAAACTTTTTGCATATGCGTCAACGCATTAATGTGTTGACGCATGCGCATAATACCTTTATGCATGTGCTTATGCATTGACGCATGCACGTTTAATGTATAACGAACGGTATAAGCTAAGCTAAAATTTATCTAATTATCTATTTCAGTTAATGTTGCAGATTGCGTTGTTCCTTAATCTTCTAATTGAATCTGGCTTATTATTTTTTGCAGACTGTTAGAGCAATTTTACAAAATAAAGCTTGAACTTTCGATTATGTCAAAAAGAATTTCCGATTCTGGAGTTGCGAAAGCATGTTTCGATGTCCATCAAACAAAAAGTGGATAAAGGCATATCCTTTGTTTCTCTAACCATTCCGAAATCTGTTTATCAATTTCACGCTGCTCTGCGGGGAGGGGGAGACATCGCGGCACCCAATGAACTGGAAGTTCATCTGTCAGCACTATCCTTATCTTCATGGCAGATGTTTTTATTTTATTCAGCTTATAATTCCTTACTAAATGTAGTATTTCATCTTGATGTACTCCGTCTTTGATATAATTTAAATCAAATTCCTTGTCATTATAAATATCACGAATACACATCAAATAGTTTTCTGGTTGTAATTTTCTAATTTCAACTAAACCTAATGTATGCTTTATGCATGCGCGCGTTGAAGAAATGTTTAATAAAGTAAACAAAATAATATTAAGCTTTTTTTTTTTTGTAAATTTTGATACCCTTTAGATCATAATTGCTCTTTATTTCATAAATTATGGTTCATATTTTTAATTTTATAATTTCTGCATGCCATCTTGCCAGATTTAAATTGATGATCTATAATTCGGAAAAACCAATAATCCGGAATCGCCGAAGTCCCGACGAATCCGGATTAAAGATTTTGACTGTATTATGTACTCATATAGAAAAAAAGGAGGTTTAAAAACATCTGTATAGAACAATATTGTTATAGGAGAATTTCCTAAATGATCTTACAAAAGCATTTCAGGCAGTGGCAAAAATTTTTAAGTCATTATAAGCCTAGATACATGTTATAATAATTTATATATCATTTCATAACATTATTTCAAAATTGTAACTGCCCGCCAGCAGTAAAGCTAGCGGTAACACTGGTTGTTTGGTCTGGGGTTTGAATCACGACAAATGGGCTAACTGCATAGGCATTTTCATCGTTTTCCTAATATGTAACATGTATATGAGCCAGTTTCTCTTAGAAAGCCCTCCACGAAGGCATCTTTCCCTTTAGGCAGATAGCCATTGAATACTAATACTTTGCCATGATTAAATAAACTAAAACATAATTGTACTTTATGTCATTCTGCAGTAATTAACTGAATGTCCATTAAATATGATTATAAAAGATAAATATTGTATCTCAACATTAATGTATTGTCCTTTTGTATAAAAAAATACATATTTTCTTTCTTTTATGAACCAACTGAAAAAGTCTCACCTGGAAGAATTTGAATATGATTTTGGAGATAACGAGTTCACATCTGCAAGAAAATTGAATTTAATAATTAAACAAATTAATTTCAAAAACTTTTACCAAAGATTCAAAAATTAACTCAGAAAATAAGCTTACACACACACACACACATATATATAAATATATATATATATGTAAGACATGGCAAAATATGATAACTGCATTAAAACATAATTGGCCACCTCAAAATTAACAATCTAAATTTGTTGCTCTCGCCCTAAATTTATCTGTTCTCCCAAATTTGAGATTTTTCTACGTTATGTAATGCTATTAACTAACTAATCATAGATTAGCTGTACTTGTACATCAAACTTGGTACAAATACCTCTGACAGTTAATTAAGTCATTCTTTTTCTAGCTTCTGCTACTGCTAAAATATCGCCGCTGCTCTGCTTTTCAACCTAAAAGCATGTCGCTCCCAATAACCTGTGCATATGAGAAATTATTGTAATTGTTCATGATCGAAAAGTATATTGTCTACCAAGAATGATTCTAATGTGCCTAGAAATAAAGATAGTAATTAGCTGAATTTGGATTGTGTCAACATCTTCTTCCATCTTTCCACTAAACTATCGAAAGCTGCTAAAGTGTTAACTGCACACCAAAATACCTATCCTCGGTTATGACGACCGCAAGCTGATTCCTCTTGTATGCTTTGAAATTATGATATATATATATATATATATCATTATCATGAAATGAAATTTAATAAATGCCTTTCTATATTTAACAATTTTATTAGTATACTGTATTCATAAACATATTCACATATAGTAATTTACAAATAATTACTATAACCTAGTTCTAAAATTTGTCAAACTCTTCAAAATTTTATTAATATATCAAACTACATTTATCATGGGACAAAGGAAGAAAATGCATGTGGCATGGTTAGCAGATTTATTCTGTTGATATTTTAATAAGTAAAAATTATTTGCACTTTTGGTATTTGAGCAATAAATACAAATATGTTATCATGAAGCTAGCTATCTTCCTTAAGTTTTGCGGATTGAATGGCTTTATTTTTTCGCTTATTCCACATTTTACAATATCTCGTGAGGAAGTCAGCAACACCAAAGTGTTCAAAGCATTCTGTGTGTTTAAAAAATTTTCTTCAAAATACAGAGTAAGCATCATATTAATTCTTGCTTTCAGAATATAGGAATAATGTATATACATATATATACAGTACAAAGTCTGTAATCCGGACTCATCGGGACTTCGGCGATTCCGGATTAGGGTTTTTTCCAGATTATAGGTCATAAATTTAAATCTGGTAAGATGACATGCAGAAATTATACAATTAAAAATATGAAACCATAATTTATGAAATAAAGAGCAATTATGATCTAAAGGGTATCAAAATTTACAAAAAGAAAAGCTTAATATTTATTTACTTTATTAAACATTTCTTTCAATGTATGTTGTTTAAGTTGCTTCGTTTTAATTCTATAAACAGACATAATTTCTTGTTCAGTTACAAAGTTCCACTGTTCAAGTCCTGTAATTGCTGTGTCGAGAATACCAACTAACTTGCCAATCAAAATATTTTCGTTTTCAATAACCTCTCTGTCACTTTCTTCACTATCGGAAGCGCGCATGGGTAAACACTTTACGCAAACATTAAATGCACATGCGCAAGTTTGTGGCTTTGAGGTTTGGATTATAGATCATTCCAGATAATGGACGTCCGGATTACAGACTTTGTACTGTATTCTGAAATCATTAAGAACATAAACAAAACTTTAAGATATTAATTGCATATTTTAAATAACAGCAAAATATCCAAAGAACTGCACATAAAAAATTATATGCTAACAAACTAAAATGGAAACAGATCTACATTAAAATGAAATGTACAGGATAAAAATTACATTAATATGAATTTTGATAAAAATCAGTTTACAAAAGAGGACATTAATATAACTATATCATTTCAGAAAGCAAACTGTAAAATACTAACTTCGATCCACAGGTTCTTGCAAAACTTGTAAATATGATACAGGAATAATACCCTTTTTGTTATTGAATCGTGCTTCATACCAGTTAGCATCTACTCTTCTTATCAGTGATACAGTGTCACCCTAAATAAAAAGTATAATGTCAATAACATATCAATAAACTACCATATCTATATTTTGTTCATAAAATAGATACATACTTTCCTCACAGAGAGTTCAACTGATGTTTGAGCGACAAAGTCATACAATGCTTTAGCTATACCATCTGTGGATGCTTTAACAGGAGAAGAAACATGTTCTGGAGGAACAATCTAAAAAAATATATAACAGAAAGCATATTTAATATGCATATACATTATGTTAAATGTTACGCAGCGTAGCCAATTTAAACAAGCTTTTGTATTGGGAAGTTTATGATAAAAAACATATTTTTTTTTTAAATCAAGTACTTATTTGTGTAATTAAATAACTTTCCATTAATCTAAGAAATATAGCAACTTGCAAAAATCTGTTAAAATCATTTAGGACATCCAATAGCTTAAAGGTATGAAACCCTAACAGTGCACAAGATTCTGGTTGAAAGAGTTCATCAGGTTCACAGAAATGCGTTTTCTCCAAATACAGCATGAGCCAATTTTCCTTTAAAAGCTCAGGCTCAGCAATGACCAAGTAGCTAACTACAAATCATTTGACCTGAGTTCTGTTCCAGGTGATCAGATTGTATAGGTGTGGGGGTTTTCTCTGTGTGTAATGCGAATATTAGATTATTACTCTGAAACGGTTCTCTACAACGGCATACATTCCTTTAAGCAGATAACCTTTGCATGCTTTTGCCACTGTCAAATAAAGCAAACCAAAACCTTAAAAAATAAACTCCTGAAGATTTAGCAGATAATCTTTCTGTGCTTGTTGTTTTAATTAATGCATATAAAGTCAATAAATTTTAGATTATTTTAAAGACTATTTAAAGCACATAAAATAACATTTAAAAGGAAATTTAAAGCTCATTTTCCTTTTAAAAAGGAAAAGCTCAGGGGGCATCAAAGCTTACACACACAGACACACAAATAAATTAAAATGGTACCATTCCGTTTTGAGGACAGTAAAAAATTGCAGTGAAAATGTATGCACAAAAGTGCCAAATCCAGCAAACGCACCCATTTAACAGCGGGCCAAATCTAGCGTACAAGCTAATTTCAGATTGCATAAGTTTAGATAGTTCTATATTTCTTAAGATGCCATTGAAATACTAGTTTTTTTTAAATCTTTTTTTTTTTTATATCCTAGTGATTTAACAATTCGGAAATTGCCTATGACAAAAAGTCTGCAATAGAATTTTTTCAAAGGAAAGGCATCATTCATTATAGAAAATTATGTTTGAACAGCCAACGAGATGAAATTATGCTTTAGTGATAACTCGGTAGCGAAATAGCGATGCAGGAATTCATTCAGTTATGTTTAGCCTTTTTTTATATAAATTATAACAATGATCTGAGATAGTTATTTACTCTTATGCTTCCATTCAGTTATGTTTAGCCTTTTTTATATAAATTATAATAATAAAAAAGTATTATATGAAATTATTCATATAGTTTAATTTTTAAATCCTTTTTTGATATCCTATGGATTGTTAAATAATATTAAAAAAAGGAGATAGTAATGCGCTGATGATATGTAAGTAAATATCATTATGATGTGTCTGTTTAGACAGGATACGATATAGCACATAAACTAAGTCATTCAATCAGAGATTTCTGCATAAAAGAACATATTCTTATTTATTATATGAAATGGTAATATAAAAAAAGAACCATGTATCCCCTGAACAAGCATGCCTCCCAGGAAATGACAAACATGACAGATGGGTTGGAGAAAATTCAAGTGCCCAAAATTATACAGCCTTATTAATTATTATTAAATAATAGTGGTCTCAGCTTGGGAAAGGAAATCAGTAACTGAACCCACTGAAAATAACAGCCCTTAATTTTCCTACTTGTGCCACTATTTAAAAGTCATCAATCATACCTGCCAACAGCCGGCATTGCTTAAAATGATACATATACTATCACTATTACATCTTCCATATCGAAGTCGCCCAAAACGACCAACTACTTAGATATAAGCAGGTTACCTGAATGCTTGAATCATTTTTGACCTGGTGCTTTCCCCGCATCAAGTTAGTGCATGGCTCATTACTTTTGGGAGTTGTTAAATAACATGTCAATCATTCTTTTGAATGCACCATCCTTCTCCTTTATTTAGCATCAATGTTCAGTTATTGATGCTCACACTTGCAATATTGTCCTAAGGGGAACTGCACAGAGTGGTGAAACCGAGCGAAGATCCAAAGATAGAACTTACCACTTCACTTAAGTAGGTTATTGCAAGTACCATAGCATTCTATATGGCATGGAAGGAAATCTGTTCCAACAAAAATACGTATACAGTCAAAAGTCGTTAATCCGGACTCGTCGGGACTTCGGCGATTCCGGATTATAGATCATCAGTTTAAATCTGGTAAGATGGCATGCAGAAATTACAAAATGAAAAATATGAAACCGTAATTTATGAAATAAAGAACAATTATGATCTAAAGGGTATCAAAATTTACAAAAAGAAAAAGCTTAATATTTGTTTACTTTATAAAACATTTCTTTCAATGTAAGTTGTTTAAGTTGCTTCGTTTCATGTGATAATACTTTCTCTTTAATTCTATTAAACAGACATAATTTCTTGCTTAGTTACAAAGTTCCGCTGTTCAAGTCCTATAATTGCTGTGTTGAGAATACTGACTAATTTGTCAATCGAAATTTTTTCGTTTTCAATAACCTCTGTTACTTTCTTCACTATCGGAAGCGAATTATAATGACGAGGAACTTGTTTTAAATCATATCAAAGACGGAGTACATCGAGATGAAATACTACATTTGGTAAGGAATTATAAGCCAAATAAAATAAAAACATCTGCCCTGAAGATAAGGATAGTGCTGACAGATCAACTTCCAATTCATTGCGCGCCACGGCGTTCCCCCCGCCGAGCAGCGTGAAATTGATGAACAGATTTCGGATTTCGAAATATACTTTCGCTTTAGATCCTTTACATATTAACAAATATATATCAGAAATTCTATTTGATATAATCGAAAGTTTAAGCTTACTTTTATAAAATTGCTCTAACAGTCTCAAAAAAATAATAAGGTGGATCGAATTCGAAGATTAAGGAACAATGCAATCTGCAACATTAACTGGAATTAGATAATTTTAGCTTAGCTTACACCGTCCGTTATACATTAAACGCACATGCGTAAACGTTTTATGAGCATGCGCAAAAGCATATTCGCAGCTGTAATAGTCTTACGCGCGCACGTAAACGCCTATGCGCATGCGTCAACGTGACGCATGCGCAGAAAGTTTGTAGCTTTGAGGTCCGGATTATAGATCATTCCAGATTATGGGTGTCTGAATTAGCGACTTTTGAGTGCATACGGGCACTTCAGATGTTTGATTCAAACAACCTGTACCAATATGAAAGAGTTAAACGTGGATCAAACGAACTGGCAGTCATGAGTTGTAGTAAATGATTAAGTATTCACATGGATGCATCTGGACTCAGTAAACAAGATTTGAGGGAAAAGTGTTATACTAATAATGAAAGTTAGAAAAACTAACATAATGGGCACGGGCATGCTTCTTTTATTTTAATTGATCAAGGCAACTTGAATTTTAGGCTTTAGACCTTTGAAGCTTGATGCATAAGATATTTTTAGCAATCGTGCACTTCTCAAAACTGTGGCAACAGACTGGCATATTCTTTTAGCAGTCTAAGTCTAGCTTTGAGGTTTCATGAAAGACACGAGGATAAGCTTAAATGATTAATTTAAAGTTTAAGTCTCAAATCTACTATGCATTGTTAGGATAAGCTGGTACATAAACTACTTGCAGAATGTCTTTTACTAGCTATTCTTCATCAGCTGGTCACCATGCAATGAGAGGTACAGTAACATATCTCAACTGCCAGAGCCAAAATTCAATGGACAGCCCATCCGAAGAATAACAGTCATAATGACAGCAAAACTGAAGTTTTTAACTTCTATTAATAATAATGTAGCTTTAAGAAAAGGGAAAAGTAGCTGCATAAAGACATTTAGCTATTATAGTATATAATAAATATCCATTAATAATGCTAAAATAAAATACTCCTGTGTAAATTAAAATTTATAAAATGCTTTACATTAATATGAATGAAATATTAAACCAAATACATTTCAAACTAAAAGAAAAAAGACCTAATTGGTTAATTACCTCAACATAAGAAATAGGGAATATGCCTATAGTACCTTGATGTTCACCTTCATACCAATTTTTGTCTAACTGTCGCAAAATCATCACCATATCACCTTTCTTCAGAGAAATTTCCCTTAAAATAAATTGAGAAATTAAAATGTTTACTAATTCATCTTCAATTTTGCAATTATTAAAAAAAAAAAAAAAAAAAAAAAAAAAAAAAAAAAAAACAAAAACTTTTTTTCTCCTCCAACCCAAATGTTTACTTAAATTCATCTTAATTTTGCAATATATATATAAAAAAAAAAAAAAAAATTAAAAAAAAAAAAAAAAAAAAAAAAAAAAAAAAAAAAAAAAAAAAAAAAAAAAAACACTTAAACAAAAAAAAAAAAAAAAAAAAAAAAAAAAAAAAAAAAAAAAAAAAAAAAAAAAAAAAACTTCTCTTATCTCAACCCCCATTATTACATATCCTTAAATTTCCATATTATTTCATTAATTGTTAGATTCAAACAAATGAGTAGCATCAATTATTAAAATTTTCTAAGAATGGAAGAAAAACATAAAAATTATAGGAAGGGAAACTCTTTTCTAAAAAGTCCTAAATATTATTATAACCACAACTGACAATTTCATGCAAAATTTTTGTGCATAATTAAAAAATAATACAATTTAGTATGTCCAATATATAAACAATATTAATTCCATAAATTCCAGCATATAAACAAGATTAATTACATAAATATATTCCAAATTTATGAACAGAGTAACATCACTCAAATATATTACAGTCAAAAGTCTTTAATCTGTACTCGGACTTCTGCGATTTCGGATTATCGGTTTTTCCAAATTACAGATCATCAATTTAAATCTGGTAAGATGGCATGCAGAAATTATAAAATAAAAAATATGGAACCGTAATTTATGAAATAAAAAGCAATTATGACCTAAAGGATATCAAAATTTACACAAAAAAAAAAAAAAAAAAAAAAAAAAAAAGCTTAATATTTATTTGTTTACTTTATTAAACATTTCTTTCAACGAGCGCATGCGTAAAGCATACATTACGCATAGTCAAAATTAGAAAATTGCAACCAGAAAATTATTTGATGTGTATTCGTGATATTTATAATGACGAGATATTTGATTTAAATCATATCAAAGACGGAGTACATCGAGATGAAATACTACATTTAGTAAGGAATTATAAGCCAAATAAAATAAAAACATCTGCCCTGAAAATAAAAATAGAGCTGAGGGATCAACTTCCAGTTCATTGCGTGGCAACATCCCCCCCCCCACAAAGCAGGTGAAATTGATAAACAGATTTCGGAATGGTTAGAGAAACAAAAGATATGCCTTTTGTTTGATAAACATCAACACATGCTTTCGCTTTGTAGAAACATCGAAACATGCTTTCGCTGCCCTTTGGCAGCTTCAGAATCGGAAATTCTTTTTGAAATAATCGAAAGGTCAAGCTTACTTTTATAAAATTGCTCTAACAGTCTGCAAAAAATAATAAGTCGGATCCAATTAGAAGATTGAAGAACAACGCAATCTGCAACATTAACTGAAATAGATAATTAGATTATTTTAGCTTAGCTTATAACACATTATGCGTTTATGCATGCGCAGAAAGTTTGTAGATTTGAGGTCTGGATTATAGATCATTCCGGATTATCGACGTCCGGATTAAAGACTTTTGACTGTATAAAATTAGAGGTAGACTTAAATTGTGCTCAGTTAATCCCTTTCTTTGAGTAAAATATATTCAATTAAACATATGTAGTGGATTATTATTTATGATGCTTATTCCACTGGAATATTTAGAAAAATCACTGAACTTCTGCAGCACATGTATCAGATGATTAAAGAAAATTATATTTTCTCTTCTTAAATTAATTGTAATTTCAATAACTAAGTAAAACCTTTGTAAAAAATATATCTCTCTAAGGCAACTACCTCTGTAAGTGAGTATTTTTGAGAAGATAAATAAGCATTGGTATTCAACGTCACCTGCCCAAAGACCAAAATAACCAAGTACCATAGGTGGTAACCTTTAAAAGGATTTATTGCAGTACAAAGTCCGAGATCTGGACTCATCGGGACTTCGGTGATTCTGAATTTTAAATTTTTCCGGATATTAGATCATCAGTTTGATGGCATGCAGATATTATAAAATTAAAAATATGAAATCATAATTTATGAAATAATGAACATGTATGATCTAAAGGGTATCAAAATTTGTAAAAAAAAACTTGATATTTATTTGTTTACTTTATAAAACATGTCTTTCAATGTCAGTTATTTAAGTTGCTTCATTTAATACTTTCTCTTTAATTCTGTAGGCAGACATAATTTCTTGTTCAATTACACTGTTGAAGTCCAGTAATTGCTGTGTAGATAATTCCGACTAACTTGTCAATCAATTTTTTTTCCTCTTCAGTAACCTCTCTGTCACTTTCTTAACTATCGGTAGCGGTACTTACTACATACTTTGCCTGACTGATGATTGACAAGCATTGCCATCACAATGAAAAAATTCTTTTATATCGTCTTCATTTACTATTGCTTCTCCACATTTCTTTATACAGGGTTTGTACACATTTCTGCACATGGAAATGAAGTACTTTTAAGGACTTTTAAGAACCATTAATGAAGAAAATTAAGGAGCTATGAGCAAATGGGGACTGAATAAATTTAATTAAAAATATTATTCTATGCCTGAATTTCACTTTTGTAATACCATCCTAAAAATAAAATAGATCCCTAAGTAGTACGCATTATTACTAAACATGAAATAATTAATATAATTATTAATAAGTTTGAGAATAAAATAAACTTTATGCAATTTTTCAAATAGAATTAAATATTTCATACTTATAATAGTTGGATGTATGAAAGAAAATAAGTGACATTTACGTTTTACTAACAGTTAGCTTTCTGTTGATTTTTTTATGTCTCATTTTGTCACATACTTGGTCAGTCTAGAGATTTAGTAAGTAGCAGGTAATAGATTTTATTTCAAGCAGTATAGATTAAAATGAGAAGCAAGATCATAATCAACATTATTCATAACAAAAGACTGAATGTTGTCACCACTGCTGATTGTCTAGAGAGAGACATGCTGATTCGATCAAACCTGAAAGGCCTGATGTAGGCACGGTTGGCAAGTGTTGAAAGTTAGTCAGGCTCTGTTCGATGCAGTTAGTGTCATAGCTTTGTGTAGAGTTCCAGAGGTTGTAACCCAGTTAATATACTTTAAAGTCCCAATAAGCCATTAAAGCACCAGAGGTGATATATTGTTTTGTATTATTTTAAGTCTCATAGATGCAAAGAGAAAGTTTTACTTGAATTTTTACACTTTTGTGTTTTATCTTCTGACCACAGTGAGTTTCAATGAAAGGCAATAACTCTCTTTAATATGTAGAGATAATTCTTAAGGGTAAGCAGTTAATGACAAATGATTAAATTAGGTAATTAGACAACCTTAGTCATTATGGATTTACATGGCCACTATTAAATTATATTTTTTAACAATATCTGTTAAAAATGCCCTATTAAAATCACAATCTAATAGAATTTCACTGTTTAAAATACATGTAATTTATGACATTGATTCTTAAACGATATTATGATAATTACACATTAAAAGCTACAAAACATTTATGTTTTGTAACAACAACACTAAAAAAAAACATTTGTCCATCATTTTAATTTGAAACCTTCCCAAACATTTTGGCTAGTTTATATCGATTTCTTTTTCTTTAAGCATATTTTCTAACAATGAGAGATTTGTCTCAATATGCAAGCCAATGCTCTCGCTAGTTTCTGTGTGCTTTATCTTCTAATTTATCAACCTCTCCACAATGTACCTATGAGGGTTTACTTGATCTGGTAAAAGTTAACCGTTTGACTGCTATGCGGCACAAAAGCACTGCATTCATTTGTCTCGAAAACCGCGACGCAGCGCTTTGTGTTTCAGTGTGTCTTTATTGCTCCGTCATCAAGTCAAAATATAATTATAATAAAATATAAGTCAATAGACAACATTAAGTCAAAATATGTCCCGCAGTTTTCGTGCGTTCTTGCAAGAATTGCTTAGCGGTCAAACGGTTAAATAGTCCCAAACCCCAGACAGACGTGAAGAAAATTATTGCTATGTCTGAAAGTAACTACAATATCAGATAAAGGTTTAAATAAGCCTCTTATTTAAAAAGAACTTAGAAAATAAAGGCATGTTCTGATGCTAACAAAATCAATTACAGCTCAGGGTCGCTAACATAATTAAACAAAGAGCAGTCAAATTCAAACTCAAAAGTGGACTAGTGGGTCAAAGATTCAACATTATGGTAACTCTGGCTCAGTTTTTTGGCTATCATTTGAGGAACTAGAAACGGAAAATTATAGTAAAGGCTGAAATCATAAACAATTGGGTAATTTACATAATAATAACTGCACATATATTTGAAGAATAATTTTCTTTATGTATTCAGTTTCTTTCTACAACCCCTTTACCTATTTATTTTAGAATTTTGGGATTTAACTAAGGATTTCTGTTATTCTAAAAAACACTAAATGCATTTAGAATATATAGAAAAAGTGGCTAATTTTATTTCTTTAGTAATATGAACATTCAGAAGAAATATGAAATATATATGGTAAAGGCCGGTTACAGAGCTGATGTGGTTCTTAATTAAAAAGAAGACATTTTTAATTAATTACATAGCTAATTTTTCTTTTGCTAAGAGCTGTTTCGTAAATTATGCTTTATAGCATTATACCTTGTTTATTTTTCAGATTCAAAATATTGTATAATAAGTTGCCAAAATGAAACTTTATAATATGACAGCAAAAAAAAAAAATTTTTTATTTTAATGTTATATTTTAAATATAATTTCAATATGTTACCATTATTTTAATGAAATTTATCAATGTTATGATGTTTTAAAAAAAATCGTTGAAAAATTTTCAGATCACGGAATTAAAAATGTTCTACAGAAACTAATCTTAAAATCGTCAAAATGTTGACAAGTTGCCAAATTTAGAACCGTTTAATGAAAGAACTCACATCCCCAAAAGAGAAACTTGTTTGAGAGCTCTTTATTAGAAAAAATGAATTTCAAAATGCTTATGTTTCACTTCTTGCTTAGAAACTCGAGTATCCCATCATTTATATTAGAAATACAAACAAATTATAACCCATGAACCCATTCGAAAGATAACCATATATGTCAGTGAATCGCCAAAAATATTCCTCCAAAATGCTAATTCACACTCAAAATGGCAGTCATAAAAACAGACAGAAATTTCAGATGATTAAAATTAAGGACCTTCTACTGATTTTGGCCAAAATTAAGGACTTTTTAAGGACCAAAAATCGATTCCAAAAAATTTAAGGACTTTTAAGGAAGGACTCTTAAGAACCGCACGAACCCTGTTTACAAAAGCCGTTAATTGGAAAATTTCACCTTTGGTTTGCTATATCCGAAAATCTTTAAAATTCGCGACTGTCATCAAAATTTAGCTATCTTGTTCACTATACATATTTGGCTATGTATCATAAGATTCGGGACTAAAGACAAGTTGTTCACTAAATTTTATCTTGCTTCTATCAATTCACTGAAACAATTAAATCTGAACTTTATTAGTTATTTATTACACTTATGTCTACTTTCTGCACATACTTAAGGTTTATCTGAGTCTTGAATAAATAAATTACTACATATACTTAAATTTTCTTGAGTGCCGGCACTAGACATATTACTGCCTGATGCAGTCTCTGTGGGTCCTAAATTCTGCTACCAAGCACCTTTCCTAAATTCTGCCTTCCTGGTGTAGACATAAGAGCCCTGGCGCTGGTTCTGGGTTTATGTGAATAACAAATCAGTTATTCACATTCAAATAGCACTAAATGTAATCTTTTGGCCTATAAGTATCATAAAGAAAATTGATTTTTAGCATATGGAAAGAAAATTTTGTTAAAACTTTTCCTCGTCAACATTTCTTAGCACATTTATCTTAAACCTGTAATCATCCCCAAGCGTAATGTCAACATAAATGGTTATCATATTTTTTATTATTCAATTACTAACATAAAAAAATTGTTTAGCCATCGCTACATGAGTGATTATTCAAGTTGTTATGTGTTGATAAACATGCAGTGATGAAAGCAAAATATAATAAATAATGATCAGCCAGGTTGGCAGGAATATAAAATATTAGCGCATGTAAAATCAACGATTTTATGTATGTAGAATGATTCGGTTTGAGATGTATGCCAAGCAGACATGCAACAATAGAGCCAAATTATCGATCATACAAAATTATGCTAGAATGATTTTTTTTCAAATAACGAGATATTTTATTTAATGCTGAAGTAAAATTAAGAATCGGGACTCTCCAAATGTTTTATTATGCGCAGGGGAAAATCAAATGTGCATGCTTAAAGCATACAAAAAAAAAAAAAAAGGTTGTTGGTGGCTTTGAGGTCCAGATACTGGACGTTTGTATCTCGGACTTTGTACTGTATATGTAATTTTTTACATTATATGAACCTACAAATGAAAGCTACATGAAACTATTTTCCACATCATTTACATAACTTCTAATTTTGATTATTAAAAATATTACATACTTAATTAGCAATGAATTTCTATATTTAATGTCAAAAAATCAAATTTTCAACCACATAATTTCAATCAAAATTTTGATACTGTTTGCTAAAATATGAAACTGGAACATGAATACATTAAATTTAAATAAAAGTTTAGGTATTTGAAAACATTCCAATATTAAAAAACTATGGTACATCATTCTTTCATCAACTTCAGAAATTTTGCATTTTGTACAAAAATTCATTGAAATAATATAAGGCACTTTTAAATTCAGAATGCCACATATTTCAGAACTGGAAACTAATATTATATTCATTTTAATAAAAATAAACTTTACACATTAGATAAAAGTACAGAATTTCACTAACTTTGGAGATTCTGCTTTAAAATCAAACAGAGCTCTAGCTGGTATTCTTAAATCTGGTGACCTGGATGGTGATTTTATAGATCTGTTTGGAGACAGCTGGCTAGAACTGAAGTAATTGAACAAAAATATATAAGTAAAAAGCATGCTCCTATATAATTTTACTTAATTTTAACTATATGCTTATACATTAACAAAACAAACATGTTTAAGTAACTTCTGAAAAGAATTTAATGCAAGTTGTACTTCTTTAATCTAACACAACATGCTCTAGCAACTTCTATGATCTGGCATTTTCTATTGCTCCATCATTTCAAAAGAGTAAGCCTCTTGTATAATATTCTAAGTAAAATATTTCCTTTCTTTATTTAACAACAAATCTTACTTTTTTATTTTACACAGACCTGAGCAGTTATATTACATTATAAGTACTAAGACAAAAAAAAAAAATTTTTTTTGAACAAATATCTTTGGCCTGAAGTGTATCTATTCCTGATCAAAAGACTGTCACAGTAGCAGAGGTAATAACAGAGCACTGGATTTCCAGGTTCAGAGTGTCTCTTCAGTTACATTTCGATTAGGGAAGGAATTTTACCTAGACTATGCAAGCTACTTGGCATTGACAAAACTCAAATGACACCTTTAGATCCTCAGTCGAACAGCATGATGGAGAGGTAAAGTGGTTCAAAACCTTCACAGTTTAAAAACATCATCTTCAAAAACATCATGTAAAAAAATTAAGTACGTACAATTCATCGCATGTTGATAACAACGCGCATATGCGTTTTTCAGTTTTAAATGTAAGTGTATTTTCACATAATGATTTGGGAGCACAAGAAGGAAAGAGGGATATTTTTATTTCTATATTTCATATTTTTGAATGAATTAATGGCAAAACCCACTATAAGGCTGCTTGACAAAGAGAAGAGAATGCCTTCATACAGGACTTTCTGAGGAGACTGGCTTGTATTCACATTATTGATCACTATTTTCGTTTTCAAATATTCTGAATCAATCCTACTAAGATCGATATCTTAGCATTTCTTCAAATTCTAAACTTTCAAAGAATTTAAATAAATGAAATTTTAGAAAGATATACAATGCATTTACAAAATTTTAGGACATTTTCTTTTTAGACTTATTCCAGCAAACTTGCCAAACAACAACTGAAAACATTTATTACTAGGCATCTCAACTTGCTTTTACTACAATATTGTCAGCTTACAGATAGAATTCTCTACACAGATAATCATTTACTTTGGTTCAGTAAACATCTGCTATCATGGGTTTAAAAACCAAGAATAGCAACAAAGTTCTGCTGTAAAGCAGGAAGAATAAAAATGGAAACATTTGAAATATTGTGTAAAATATATGATGATTAAGCATTAACAGGATTCCATGTTTCTGGTTGATATGGATGATTTCATGACAGACATGAAGATGAAACTAGGGTTGGCTGCTCTTCGCAGTTGACAAATTATCACTCATTTACTTGAATGGTAAGTAATGAGCTTAACATCAGTAATGACACATTACTTTCAAAATTGTCACAGAAGGTCACAGGGAAAAAAAGGAAAAAGCAAAAATTTTAAGGACTAAGATGAAACTTGGTGTTTTGCTTATGATCCACAGATAAAATGGCAGTTGTTCGCTTTAATTTTGTTTCGATGGGGCAGAAAATAAACTCCATATCTTATAGAGATATAAAAGGATTAATTTCTGAATACAATTTGGCATGTTGGGCCTACACACACTTTCTACCAAAGAAAAGTGCCACAGTTCTCAACCACCCCCTCATTCACAGGATTTGGCATCTGCAGACTACGTTCTCATCTCAAAGGTCATTACTTTAATAGTACTGAAAAAACAAAAAAACTGTTACCAGAGATTTGAACAATATTCTGAAAAATAAATCTTATGAAGAAATTAAGCAGCCATATAAACATCCCTAGTGATGTGAAAACTTATAAAGATTGCATATTGAAGGCTAAGAAATAAGAATGCTTCCTTCAATTTATGATTTAGTAATTCAGTCCTAAAATTTAGTAGACACATTGATAATTATGCAAGAATGAGAAAAAAGTTATCATACATTTTATTAAGATATAATTTAGAAATTTAGCTATGGCTAGTGGATATGTAATGTCAATAATTCATGCATACAAACATTATACAAAAGTACATTGAATTACAAATCAATTTGAGAAACTTACTGTCTAATAATAAGAACGAAAAATCACTCGACATACTTGTCATATTTTATATAATAAGATATTCTTGTACACAAATAAATTTATTTAAATTACACAAAATACTGGAAATACATATTTTTTTTTAATATTAAGAAACTGAAAGACTCTCTTAAGAAAAAGTAGGTAAGTATACCATGGTGACATTCTTTGTTGAAGTTCTGAATGAAGAGCTTGTCTCATCTGCACTTCATACACCCCATTCATTTGCTTAAAAGGAAAACAAAATCTTCAAATGGCAATTTTAATTAAATTTGCCACAATTAGTTTCACTGTACAGAGTACTTCATTTGATTTTAAAAAAATCACAAGTAAATCTTAAGAGCTACTACAGAGCTAGGGAAGTGGAAAACATGCAGCATAGTTCTCTTAAAGATTAACAATAAAAGTAAAAGTGAAAGGCAATAAAAGGTTTGTGCAAGCTGGAATAAAGCCTGTTAAAACTCAATACAAAATTGTTCATATGTATTGAACTATGTCATAATGTAAATTCTTAGAGATTTTGTGTGATAAATTTGTAAGGTTCATTTTAAGTAACAGTTTTCAAGCTAAATTTGTCCTGCACTTTATTTCTTCCATCTGTTCCAGCAGAAATATAAATTAAATCGGTTTTAAAAAATGAGTGAAAGTTCAGAAGACACAGCAACATTGGTACTATTTCAATGTTGTAACACAGCACCATTGGTACTATTCCGTTACAGTGGCATCAGTTATAAATGCGCCTCTTTTTTGGGGGGCCACCAATTGTTGCCAAATATAAAATTATGAAATAATAATAGAGTTCAAAAGACTAAAAAAATTACTTATATTAAAAGTACATTTTTTAAAATTTCATAATTCTTAAAGAAAGTAAATTTTTCTTCTTAATTTTTAATCTAGCATATTCTACACATAAATAAAAAATGACAAAACAAAATGAAATCTAATCTAAACAGGTGGCATAAAATTACAAATATCATTCAATATTATAGAAAAAATTCAGCTTTTGAATATGACCAACACCACATAAATTCTTTCAAATATGACTCAAAATGGTAGCGAGCAGTGATTCGCTGAAATTTATTTTTCAATTTAGCACTGCCCACGATTGCTCGACAGTTTGGGTACAGCATCCAGTTTCGGGGTCTACAAAATTATAACTGTAATTCACAGTGAAAAGTTCAGCATTTCTTAATTCTTCTTTCTTACATCCTTTCTAGCTGTCTGAAAACATTATGCTGCTATCCGCGATGTTCTTCTGGATAGCAGTCATCAATTTTGTAGAACAATAATCGGAAACGGCAACCAGAAATCATTCTTTGCTTTCCGGGCATAAACCCCAAATACCCATTGTTTCGAAAGAGCATATCTAATGTTGTTTTTTTCTTTTGTGAAAAGACTTTTGTCTTTTTCTATGATTTTATTAGCTCCAACGATTTCATTTCTTTTATGAGACACCAAACTATTAGCACATACCTCAAGTAGTTATTCCAATCTACTGTCATATTAAGGTTGATTTCTAAAAGCAGTTGGCAAAATTCAATTGACATCAATTCCTGACACTACAGATAGATAAAAAGAATGGGACTGAGGAAAGATAGATGCAACCCTTCAAACCATATTTTGGTTCTCAACCTTTTTTTTTTTCACAGCAAGAACGTATATAACAATGTCATATAGAACTTTGTTTAAGTCAAAAATGAACTTTATCGGATGATTTTGAGAACAAAGTCAATTGCTATGAATTATTCCTGTGTCCTGAAGGAATCTTTATGGAAGCCTCTTTATCATTAGGTAAATTACAAATTGCGTAATCCATCACACTAAAAAAAATGGCAAAATATGACAAAAGATAATAACGCATTTCAAACAAAAACTGAAAATCTCGAGCCACGATATTTGGTGTGTTGCTGTAGCATTGTTTTCTTCATTTTTAACTGATGCCACTTTAATGGAATAGTACCATGACTTTGTGCCACTTATAATTCACCCGATCGATTCACTGTACTGAATTTGGGAACTTTTCTGACTATTCCTAGTATTTATGTTTAGAGAAGCTAGGTTTAGAGTAATATAATTTAGTATTTGTTTTGTACTTATTTAACATGTGTTTTTAGTTGTATTTCCAGACCAGGCAAGCAGCAGTAATTATAGTTTGTATTTACCAGTCATGATACAAATAAACTTTTAGTTTGTATAGCAATCACTGGACTAAATTTCTTGAAAGGTACATGTTGGATGAAGACAAAGGAGGAAAGGTGGTGATTTGGCTCGAGGAGAGGAGAAGCAGGCAGGCATCAGAGTTTACTGACACTCTGGACTTGATATTCAGATGTACCCTGTTAATAGCTCCTATTGCTTCGTTTTTGGAAATGTTGTAATGTTTCCAGGCTCGCATAAGCAACTGGTGTTAAATAAATTCAAATGTGAATATGGATAATTTGCATCTTACTTTATAAGGTTTCATCAAGCATTCTAATGGTACTTAGTGAAAATTCCTAAAGTTTGATTTTACTCTTGTTTTGTATTCAGTTAGTACTTTAAGTTCAAAGTAAGAACAATGAATCAGCTGAAGTACAGATAGGTTAAAATTATGTTTAAGTGTAAAACAGGTTTGATCTTAAATTAAATGTCACTAATTAATTGCCTTAAATGTGATGATCCATACAGTTACATTAAGTAAACTTCTTTCTTGCCCACAAACAGTTAGGGTTTATTGCATATATTTGTATTAAATCTAATTGATTAAAAAGTCAGTCATAACTGGAAAGTTTTACAACATGCAGACATTAGTAACTCATTTCTTTCAAGATGTTTCAATATGGTTACAGGAAAATTTGATTTTAGCATTATTAAGTCTTGTTTTCTTTCTCATGATGTATTTCAGATGTATTTACACTTTTTATCCTAAAAGTTTAGAATCGTGTTTAGTTGGAATGAGAAAGAGAATGAAACATATCAATATTTTCAGTTCTGATCTAAAATTACAGTTTCAACAATTTTTCAAAGGCAATTAGAAAAACAAGGTAAAATTCCTAAAGATAATAAAGCACATTTTGATATACAGTTGCTTTATCAAATATTAAAAATAAAAAATGAAATTCTTTCCAAATTATGAATAAAATCTTTATCAAAATACTTTAAAAGATCATATAAAAATTAATGTCATAAATTTATAACTGCATATATGTAAAATAATCAGAATAAATTCCCTTAACTTACTTGGCAAAAACCACTGTCATTCTGATTCATGTAATCTGCTGGAAGTGTCTGTGGTCTTGTCGCTAAAATAAAGAAATCTGATGTGTACACCACATGACTTTCTTACATGGAACATTTATTACATTATATGCACTTTTTGCTACATTTCTCTTAAACCTACTTCCTTGAATTTCATTAGAGATATATTTCTCATTCAATTAATTCTGTTCTCAGATCATGGCAAGGCAAAAATGCACAAAACCTCAAAATAGCTTCATTAAAATTTGAAAAATATAGAGAAAAAAATAATAAAATAAAACGCCAAATACAGTTAAAACAATTTAAAAAATTACAATTGAAATTAGTTTCTATGCAAAAACAAGCAATTTGGCAAGCAAGGCAGATTTTTCGGTGCCAATAAATAAATAAAAAATCAGAAAGGTTTAAGATTTTAAATTATGTCCAAAGGAGCGTTTTTTTAACGTTTTGTGTGTTACCTTTATTTATTAAATATCATGTTCTTTGTACTTAAACCATAAAATTCAGTTAAATAGCAATGCGGCAAAATAATTTTAAAATGAGCATATCTTTAGAATTTTCGATACACAGTTCCGCGTGCTGGAGATAAGAAGGTTTTTTTCACCCCACCCCCCGGTAGAGTATTGCCATTGCTCGCTTTGAAATCCTTGAGTTTGTAAATCAAAAATTTGTTAAAGTTTTACAAAATATGAAACTGATAATAAAACAAATTCCAAATTTCAAATTTGGTCTTTCACATGCCCATATATGTAGGACTACGTCACTCAAAATTCGATGGCTCTATGTACCGTTGTTTTATCACAATGCGAGAAATATACATACATTTATGCAGATTTTTCATTATTTAATTTCTTCAAATATAATGCAGGACACTAACATTTGGTGGCAACAGTTTGAAAAGTGAAATGGACTTTTATAGTGATTCAACACAAAATTGCAAAACAAAAACAATAGTCCTTCAGGGATAAAGACGCTTTGGACTAAAAAGTTTAATTCTGGTCCCAATCGGCAAAAAGACACTGAAGGTGCACAAACTGAATTCACTATTCTGCTAAGTTTCAAATTTAAACAAATATGGCTGCTATGATAAACAAAAATTAGACTTAACTGCACTTAAACAACTTTTAAATTGTTGATAATTCTACAACTATTGCATAACAGATTACATTATAAGTTTACAATAAATGCAAATAACATGAAAACACTGGATTTAGAAAATAAATGAAAACTGTTTAAGTTAATATTATATTTTTTGCAAGTGACAATTTTAAAAACTAATAAATTTTAAAAACTAATATTCACACAGGATCAACATCATTTATAAGATATAATTTCATTTATATTGTGAATTTTCATTATGAACCACACACAAATATAAAGAAATAATATTATTAAGACTTCTTGTACTACCATAATTAATAATTATTTTTGAAACTTTCTGCATATGATCTATCATCTTCCTTGTTCTAACCTATATTTGCTATCTCAGTGCAAAAGATTAATTTATGATAAAAAAAATGTTAACATATAAATACAAATAATATATTTAGACGATGAAGTATAGGCAATTATGAATGAGCACGCACCTTCCTGAAAAACATATTAAACTTCTACTAAAACACAAATTACTTGGAATAATTTACAGAACAAGCATTTGTTTCTTTGAATGCTTGCAAAACAAGACATACCTGCACATAAATGATTTACGATTTTTACTTTAATGGTAATGTTAGAATATTAAATTACCCAGAAAAACCGGTCTCAAATATCCTTTCTCCTGCTACCTGCAGTGGAATTTACCATCTTTATAGTAACATTAAATTTATTAACATCCAATTTATCATTTACAGCATAGTTAATAGATAATTAGAACTTAGATTAATATTGCATTGCATTTTAAACCGTAATTTGCAAATTCCCAATATAGTTTTAATAATGCATTAAAGATTTAGTTGATTAGAAGTTTACAAAGAAAGGTATTTGTTGCCAAAACTGTTTATATCATTTCATGTTTACATTCATGCAACCATGGTATAGTTGACATGTGATATAAACCAAATAAACTTTTACAACACTGCATCAACACATTTAGCTTTACCTTAGATTGTAACTTTAAGTGCAATCATTTACATAACACCATTTTGAAAATAAAATTTTAAGCTCAAAAGGAAAGGATCTAATATCCATTTACTTAACATATTAATTAAGGCACTAATTAAATTTTAAAACAGTCAGAATTTTGAGTATTATAAACAAAATGCAGATGCATTAAGAAGGTAGCCACAGTACAAAGAGAATGGGAATGTGCACTCTATACAGTAGGAAGACTCAAACAAAAGTTGAAATTTCCTAAGCCAGTATGACATAAGTTTAAAAGCAATACTTTGAAATGAACTGAAACATTGCAATCAGCTATAATAAATTTAATAAAATAATAATAATAATAATGCACCATTTAGCATGCTTTGAGGAAAGTAAGAAACCTTTTCACTAATATGATATATCATAGAGATAAAAGAAAGAATATTATCTAGATCCAGAGGTCATAATCTCACAACTCTTCAGCAAATCAGTTATGACCATCTTTCTTCTATCGAATGTAAAATCTGTCTTCTATAGCTGATTGTACCAACAAATTTTAAATGCATTATTTTTTAAAATGTACAAAAGAAAACACTATTTTTATGTATACTGACTAAAATATTACTACTTATTTAATGTATAAATATATTCTGCATTTTCCAGCATACAACCAAACAGTGACTTGATGAAAAAAATATGGTCAACATTAACAATATGAAGGAAACATTCTCCATTCCTACCTTACATATTTCAAAACTTGATCTTTGAGAAATACTATATATATGTATATATATTATAAATATTATGATACCTTGTGGGCATGATGGTTGCACATAATTTAATGGTGGTGGAGGTAAAGGTCCAATAGTAGGTTCTGAAATCAAGAATACAGTCATTATTAATAACAGAGTTTCCAGTTACATAAATAATATAGAAACATTAAACAGCCGGCCAAATATTTGGCAATAGTTAATATTAATGTATACTTTGCTAATCAGAGAGCTATTAATGCAATGATATTTCTGAATACTATCTTCATTTAAAAAAGAAAAACCTTTTTACAGAAATGAAGTCAGAATTACTTTTTAAATCTCTATTACCTAGATCTATCAAAAATTTAATTAAGTAAATGTCAAATTAAAAATCACAAACATTAACCATACAAAGTATGACAAGGTGTGACAAATTACCATGCATTCCTCAATACAAGAAATAATTTTTCCTTGAATTATCAGTCGAGAAACATGCAGTCACCTTGCATTAGTGACATACCATTTTTTCTTTACTGAACAGTATTACAAGGTTTCTTTAAACTTGAACTCTGCCTTCTGCTACGCCTATTGTTTTAGCCTTGAACATTCACAAGTATGTTCAGCACTGCTGTGTGATAGCACACAGGAACTTTTGTTTAGAAAAATTTAATTCTGTGTTTCAGGCTGAACTTGCTGCTATTTATTTTGCTATGAAATGGATTAAAAAAAACCTATCTAAGAGTTATAGTATTGTAGTTTATAGTGATTGTTTATCTGGATTACAGGCTTTGAAAAGCTACGATTGTAATAACTCTTTAGTTATGGATATTAAGTGTTTATATAAAGAAATTGAAGGTTTGCATGATATTAAATTTAGATGGGTTAAGTCCCATGTGGGTATTGAAGGTAACGAGAGGGCCGACGTGTTGGCCAAAGAGGCGACTTTGGATGTTTCCGTTGAGTGTTCCGTTGCCAGCCTTCAAGAAAAATGGTTATTACTAGAATCAAACAGTATTATATTGATTTGTGGTATGATAATTGGAATAATTCAAATAGAAGAAAAGAATATGCCTATTATTTAAAACCCATGTTTAATAAAAGTATTTCTTGTCATTTGGATTTTAATCAAATTGTTACTGGACATGGGTGCTTCCCGGTGTATCTTAAAAGATTTGGCATACAAGAGAATGAATATTGTCATAATTGTGAAGTTGTCGGATCGGTAAGGCACTATGTGGAAGAATGTACACTTACTTATGACATACGAAAAAATATAATTTTATTAAGATTTTTACAGGTGCTGAAAAAGAATTTAAATTTGTAAGGGAACTTATGTGTTTTCTAAATAATAATCGCTCTGATGTTGGTATTTTTATTTGATAAAAGTTTGTTTTTAAATTTTGTGTTACAATAATTTAAATTGAGATATTGGTGTTTATATGGAATTTTAACATAATTTTATTCAGTGCGTTATGTGGTGTATTTTATGCTTTTATATAATTATGTATTTTATATGTATTTCATGTAATATGTAATTTCATGTATAATTATGTATTTTATATGTTTATTTATTTATTTATTTATTTATTTTTGCTTGACGCAGCCCTTGTTTGTCATAAAATCTTGTCGATTAGGTGGATGGGGCTGCGCCCTATTAGTACCTACAGCATGCAATGATTATTGTGGTTTTATTACCAACTGTGAGATACTGTAACTTTTGAACTCCATAGTAAAGTGTAATATACTGTACTAAAAAAGAGTGGCATATATGCATTATCCTCTTGCCTTTATCTTACAGATACCAGTAATGGATCATAGCATTTAGCACCAGCACCAAGGTTCAACATCAAACTTCGCAAAAGGATGCAATTTTTAAAGTCATGATTATTCAGCATGTAGATGTAACAAATAACTTATGTGGCATTAAGGAAGTATAGTGTCCCAGAAATGGCATTCAGGAAGTATAGTATGTCACAGAAACTAATGTTCGGAAGTGGCAAAAAGATTAAAAGTATCTTAAAATTGCTCATTTAACTAGTAGCCGAGTAGATGCTCTGAGAATACCAAAATAACTATGCATGAAACAGAATTTATGTATGAAAAATGCTAAGAAAAAATAGTTGTCTTTTGTAATGTCATATGAATTAAAGCATGTGAAAAGGCACAAGATCAAAGTGTTGGATGCTCTGAATGGATATTAGGATGATGCTACAGAATGGACTTGTGCTGTGACAATGAATATCTCTTCCAGTACATGAGAAAGAGTTGATTGATTATCAGTGACACAGTATAACGCTTAGAAAGGAAAACAATTACCTTTTAGGGCATACTGGAAATACTGATGACATTTCTGTTTCAATACATTATCCAAATCAACAGTTAAAGAGAAAGGCATCAAAAGTGTATTGTTTTGCATTATAAGCAATAAGAAATGATGATTTATAGCAAAGTCCATTTTATTGACAGAACAAAGATGCAACCCTACATCATCCTAAATCATACAACTATGCCAAAAGAAGAGCTGCTGATGATGTCATATTTCACTACATCAGAAGAGGATGGATGATCAATGAACTGACTTTAGATTGGCTCCATATAGTCTGCAGCAGGAAGCAAAGTGCTCTTTTAAACAAACTTTGGATGTTGATCTTTAATGCTGTTAGAGGCAATCTCACGCTCCCAGGAAAAGAAGAAATCCTGGAACTAAACACAGATCTTGTCATCATTTCAGAATACATTTGCAACTGCAAGTGTTAAGGCCCGTCTACACGAAGCGATTTTCGCGGCCGACTTTCTCGTAGAGCAACAATTTTAAGGATCTGCGCATGCGCCAAAAATCGGTCATATTCTCTGCCGCGATTTCAGACCTGGTATTCACTGCTCACTACTGCTCACCAGCGTACGAATAAAATCAGAGTCTCTAGCCAATAAGATTGCTTTGAGTAATCACGTGCTTTTCTCCTCATTTGGAATAATAAACATGGCTGCATTTCGTTGGAGCGAAACTCAACTAATAGATTTCTATAGAGAAAATGTTATGTTGTGGCACACGAGTAATGTAAATTTTAAAAATAAAAATTAAAGGGATTATCTTATTTTGGTAAGCTTTGTTTTCACCCATTACTTTATATATTCAAATGTTTTCGAATTTCGAGGGGAAAATTATTATAACTTCCCCAAGAAAAGTTCCGAAAAACTGTTAATGACGCCATGTCATGGGTACTAGATGAAAATATTCAGAAACTACTTGATACTGCGGTCGCACTTATTGAAAAAATTCAAAAAGCAAAATCTCCATTCAAGAATAAAGCAGCACAGAGACTCAATTGACTTCGACGAAAATGGGAGTTAACCAGGTGACAACGTACATAGCTTTTCCGACAGCTCCTACACAAGCGATCATAGCCTAGTGGTAAAGAGCAGACTAGGTTTTCTTCGTAAGTCGAGATCGTGGGTTCAATCCCCCACATTAATTTTGGACTCTCTGCGCCTGGAAGAACTTTTTAATTTAGTTTCTCTATCATTAAATTCGAACTGCATGACTTAAAAGTCACGTTTTATTTTTTCGGCTATGAGTGGGGTGTTTATTGAATTTTAACGTCTTTCTTTTTATTTTTCAAATGGCCGTTGGCACGTGTTTTAGATCTACTGGTCAAAAGAAAGTCAAAAGTCACAAACTCAGTTTTGTGTTAATTAAATTTTGCAAAAGTGAATTACAGCCCAATTTAATTCAATATTGCTAAATTTTATTTGCTGATTAACTGATAGAGTCATATAATCATAGTTTTCAGACTGCATTAGTTATTTAATTATGCTGATATTAGTTTTTTAATGTTCAATAAATATACTACTTAAGATTTTGCACCTTTATGATATTTCTTATTTAAAATTTTTGCACTGAAATTACACTGTTGCTTTGTAATGTAGTAATCTTTATTCTTTATTAATACTTTTTACTAATATTGGTTTGATATTATATGATATTATTGTCTATTTATTCATTAATAAAGGTTTTGATTTAAAGCGCAGTAGTTACTTATTTTTTCTGAAACATGGTTATTTTATTATTTCAAGATTTAAATGCACAAATAGGAGTGCCAGAAAGTGAAATTTAAAAAATAAATAAATAAACTAAAAAAGGAGTAATCTGTGTACTCAGTACACAAAAGAAAAGCTTTTTTTTTTTTTTTTAATTTTTCTGCAAGCTAAATTTAGCAAAAAATCAAAATCACGCGGCATCATCTGTAAATATTTTCCGAATTGTACTGTATCGTCAATACGCAACTCCCGGAGCAGGGAATTACGAAGGCACTATGAATTTCTCGTCGTTTGACCCAATTTCTGGTCTAAACACATTTTTTCCCGTTCTGTAGCAGTAGCTAAGTTCAAAATTGTAGCTGTATCTATAGTAGCAATTTAAAATAGTCATCCATTATTTTGACTATTTGACAACACCGTAAGATTTGTTTACAAATCATAGACAGAGTGACGTGTGACGATGTAGAGGGCGGGAACACTTCCTTTTCTAGTGATTGACTGAGTGAATTCCTGTACTAACGAGAAAATCGTTCCGTGTGGACAGGCGAGCTATCTCAGATATTGTCGGCCGAGAAAATCGCTACGTGTAGACGGGCCTTAAGACGTGGTAGTGAATAAGCCAGTTAAAGAATTAAAGCAGCTGTACAGCAATTGATTGCTTCAAGGTGGTAAAAACTTCACTCCTTCCACGAAGTTAAAGAAGCCTTCAGTGTGTCTAATTGCAGAATGGATCCAGACTCCTTGGACATGCATATCCAGGGAATAGATTAAGAATGGCTTTAAAAACAAAAACAAAAAAAAAGAAAATTTTTTTGTTGTTGTTAGTGTTTAAAACAAATATGTTAAATGAGAGTGAAGAAAGAAAGAAGCAAGAAAAAGAGCTCTAAGAAAAAGAGCAAGATCACAACGACAGTAGCACTTCAAAATCTTTGGACCATTCTAACAACATGAACCAAGTGAGATCTGTATCTGACCAACGAAGGTCTAAATCTGTAACTTTAAAAAATATACTTAGTATATATTATGCATAGTTTTCTGCAATCTATTTTTTTAAAAATGTGAGGCTGGGGGTCATCTTGTATTCAGAAATATGCAGCAATACTTGGAATCATAGCACACTATTATCCATGGCATAACTGTAGCACAATCAAATGCATATCTGAATTTGAACATGTTTAGTTAATGTGTGCATAAATTTTAAACTGATAATCTTATATATGATCACAATGTGGGTCAAAGAGGATCAGCAAAGTAAGTTATCATTCCAATTCAACTGAGATTTCTGAATATTTCCAAAATAAAAAGTTGCACTAGAGGGTCAAAGATTTTATATTGTTATCAATATCCAAAAGACTGTAAGAACAGTAACTAAATCACCATCTAAATCAGCATATAGATACAGTGCAGTTTTACTTATATAACTCGAATGATGCATTCTGGAATTAAAACTGTCACACTTTGTATGTTTAAACAGATAAATTAACATCCTATTTTTATGCATTTTTTTCACAACTAAAAATATAAAATGTTGATAGTGGATGGGTTAGAAGAAATAAAAACGATTGTGATATCACCTAATGTTTATTTAAAAGACTTTAAATAAATTAGAAATTTCAAATTGTTGCAATTGATACAGCATTAAAAGCAGCTCTAGATTATAATATTTTCATTTACATAATGCATTAAATTTTCTATAAAAGAGTGCTTCTCACAGTCAGAGACAATAGACAAATATGTACTATTGATGATTTTTTACTTCTTGAAGAGAAATTTTATGTAGTAATTCCATGCTATTTTATGTATAAAAAGATGTTATGTACTACTTCTGATGATGGGAAACACAATTTACCAAAGACTAAATGTTTATAATTAAAAATAAAGCATCTCACATCTTACTAGAAAACTAAGTAATTTGAGAATGAAATAATAGTACTTCCTTATTATTATGCTCTCATTACAGTGCCAGCAGTCCTCTTGTTAATCAACTGCGACAAAGTGGCAATCCTACTCAGAATTTTTCTGTTGATAGGTGGACTATTAGTGACCATGGTTAGAACTGCTGAACCATAGCAAAGAGGAAGTATAAAAATAATTTTAAAATAGCATAATTAAAACAAAATGATTTGAATAAAGAGCCCCCCAATTACCCTGGATGGTTTGATTAGTATTAACAACTACAGCTTTACCTAGAATACCATCTTTCATAATACAATTATATGAGTAAGCATTATAATATTATTTCATTGTAATATGATTATATTCATCAGATGCCATGTAAAAATTAATTTATCATTTAATCTTATTATTAATTAATATTTTTGCAGTATTCAAAGAACTTTTATGCAGTAAAGGAAGTTAGAAATCTTTTTTGAATCTGTTAAGTTTTTCTTTATTTCATGCTTACCTTTTGGTTTTTCAGGTGCTGGTTTTCCAAGTCCAAATTGGGGAATGTCTCCTCCACGCTGAATTTCTCTGTACCAAACTTTCTGCTGTTCAGAAGTTAGACCTTCAGGCTGCTCAACTTTTCGCATATAGCTGTTGTCCGATTCATAGCCATTTTTATACTCACTGAGAATTTATATAATTTTAAGTTCAGATAATAACAAATAAAAGATGAATTATTACAAGCATAATAAATTAATTGTGAAAATATGTTTGATGTTAAGAAATTTAAAATAAATAAGAACTTACTATGTTGGCTTTGGTACTCTCACCTCAGGCAAAAATCTTTTTGAACTCTATAATATAATATTTACCATAAGATAACAACATAGTAATGAGAAAAAATAAAACAGATATAAATAAGTTCATTAATGTAATAAGAAAAATGTTTATATCCAACCTGTGTGTATGTGATGGTTTAGTCACAGGTATTCAAAAAAAGTAATCAATAAAGGCAGAAAATAAAAAATCCAGATAAAAAGGAAAATATTGTTGGGTGAGTACGGGTTCGTAATAGATTGAATGCATGCAGATCCAATGATAGGTTGATAAAATTTATTTTATCAAAAGTAACACTTTAGAGTTCTAGAATTTTCCACAAAAATTCTCCAGTAAATCTTCAGAGTATCACCGAGTACAATCAGTAGTGACACTTCAAATTAATAAGAACGTTAAACACAATGCAAAGCGTGGCTAAAAAGCGAAGCTAAACTGGAGATAGTACTCAGAACTCACACTGAGCAACAGCTAGTGACAACAACTGAAAGCAGATGCTCTTTCTACATTTATACAGTTTTTACTCAGCCACTGAGATATTCCTAGTATTTTCTACTTCTTGAAATTACTGGAAGGCAATATAAGGGCCGAATTACAGTTACATCTAATACAATGATCAATTACATTTATTCAATTACAATATCTGTTATGGTGATACACAGATAGGAACAAAATGCCAAATGGTCGCCAAGTTTGGTGACTTTCTTGTCAAATTACCGAATATCCATTTACTTTCTTAAATAGACTAGCCCCTGTGTTCTTACTTTCTACCAAAGCTCATCTCTCTAGATTTGCATGTTGCATTACACAGAAAAAATACAATTTCACATATAACTGCATTAAAAGCATCTATTTACATACAAAATTTGTAACAATATTCAGAAAATTTAAATTTTGGAATTAGACGAAAGTTACAGAAATTTTGACTATTTATGAAGTGATTGCTGCTGTCCAAAATGTATTCAAAAGCAATATGACAAGTTGCAACTAGCATCGCTAACACCTGTCATATTGCTCAATTACTTTGCATCATTTACAGATACATTTTTTTTATGAACTTGACCTTCATCTTATATTACGAACTTACATTTTGATACTCCAGGAAAGGATTTTCCCAAGAGCATTTTTACCTGGTCGGTAGCCATTTAAAGAATTACTCCTTTGCCTGCTTCACAGCATATCATATGCATCACTTGACATGTAGCTGTATTTTCAGCAGTGAATGAATCATCAAGCATTATTTAAACTACTATCTTCAAACCAGCTTGATTGTGAATTTTTTGTTTTAAGTTTATGTTTTTTAAAATTATTAAATGCAAAATTTTGTTTATATAAAGATGGATTGGATTATTCAATTATGGCAAAGCACACGAGGGCTATCTGCCTAAAGGGAGGGATGCCTTCGTGGAGGACTTTCTAAGTTTATATAAAGATGAATAAATAGTTAAGAAGTAAATCTTTGTACAGAACACACTACTTGTGAATCAATGAATCACACCAGATAGTAAATACTTTTTACTATTTGGTGTGAATAAAATGAAAGTGTGTTATATCTTTAAAATTAAACATAATTCCATCGATTAATATGGTGCAACTTTTTAATTTCTACACTCCTAAAATTATAAAATGCATTCAAAAGGGACAGTTATAAAAAATTCATATATAGTGAATCATAAATAAACAGATTTGGTGCATGGCAGTTTTGCCAATGACCAAAGCACCAAGTTAAAATTACAAAGACTACTCTATAATATATCCTTTAAAATCCTATCCCCATCCTTTAAAAAAAGCTATATTCATGCCCTTTTTTGCACACTTAGACAGAGGATAATGCAATAACTTATTTTCATTTAATAGTAAACTGAAATTTTTCATAGTTTTAAACATTGGAGGTGGGGGAAGGGAAGATTTCTTACAAATGAAAAAATGAGTTCACCATTCTTATTACTTGATTTTAGGTTTGCTATAATGTCTGGCAACAATTTTCACCAAACAAAGTGAGTAATTGCTAGTTGCTGGTAGAACTGTCATGTACCATAAATTCAAGATATACTTGAAAGATAGCACTAGAATAGAATGCTGCCTTGAGAAATGTATATGTAATGAATTGTAAATAATAATAAGATACATTACTTTTCTAAAGGGATTGCTTATAAGTGAGCATACATAGTTAACAATCCAAATAAAGTTCAAGTATTGTATGCACAAAAACAACAATCAAAATTCTTTATTATTTCCATCATTAAAATAAAGATACTTACTGCTCTGATGTCATTATCAGTCACAGATGATTGTCCAGGCTCATAATCTTCTATAAGACGAGGCCGAACATTATAAATTTCAATGGACGATTTTGCAGATGGGGGATACGCCTGCTTATACCTTTAAATTGATAATATAGAGCATTTAAAACAGCATACACATAGCTATCAGATATTATACAGCAATTAAAGTGATTTCCATTGTAATAAGCAGAAATTATAAAAAACTAATGACAATACGAGTAATTTTAATTTTATTCAAAACATGAAATGAAACAAAAATAAGGAAAATGAAGGATGATTAAAAAAACTTACAAATTATTAGAAGGCTTTGAAGAACTGTCATATCTTAAACGACTATCAAGTGTTGCAGATTTCTTTTTCAACATTTTATCTGTAAAGAAACATATTTTGATTTATATTGTAATAATCTTTTCATTTATGTTGCATTACTTGTTTATTTTTGCAATTTTTAATTAAAAGCAGACATAAAACACACAAGTTAATACTATATAAAAATGGAAACATACATAAATAATTGGTATAATCATATTTATATTATTGTTCCTTTTCCTTAGTGAGAAAGAGATTAACATGCTAACATTTCTATATGCTCTTAAGTTACTATTTCTAATTAATTTTGATTCATTTCAAACATATACTGAAATTGTGTTTAAAATAACAATTCAATGAACCTCAAACATACTGGGTCAAGTAACAGAAGTCAAAATATCTCCATGTTTGACAATGGTGCTACATAACCAATAAGGCATGTATCAGCAGCAGCTTTGGAGAATGTATAAAATGTGCTGTAGGCATTCAGGAAACATTTCAGGAGCTGTTGCAATGAATAAATGGAGAAATTTATCAGACTGACAAAAAGGAATGATTATTCGCTTGTGGGCAAAGAGTGGCAGCACTTCTAAACTATACATATTTAACTATACATATATAAACTATACATATATAACTATACATATAAATTTGTGAACTTTCTGCATCTACTCTAGTGAATGGCACTATATAAAACAAGCAGTGACAAAACTAGCAATCTGACAGCCAATCAAATAATCACACTAATGAACAGTTTGAATTCCAGAATCTGTAGCATGAGGATTCTCTTATAGTATTCCACTGCCACATAAAAGACTCAAGATTAAATCCTACAGTTGTTTATTATCTTCAAGGTCATAAGAAACTCTTGCATTGCTGCATTTCTCATTGGTGCTAACAGATGGTGTAAAGAACAAGCAACTACCGAGCAGCACAAAGCAAGCATACCACTATGTGATTACTACATTGGCAACCCAAAGAACTACATACTTTCATCCACTGGGGACAAATGACAAACTACGTCATACATGCCAAGGCATTCCTTCACAAACATTCCACTCCACAACTTAATGGTGATACACATACTAACATTAAAACAAAAATTTCTCAATCATGCTGTCATGCATCAACAGGTCCAACACATACTGAAGCAGCAGCCACAGACCATCAACGCAACAATCGATCAAATCAATGCACTGAGCTCATTACCATGCTCATAATGCAAGCCCAACTCATTACAAGCAGTCAAATAAAAAATGCTTAGGAAGGGGGAGTGCTCAATAGATAATCTATAAAACAGTTTGAATACCAGAATTTACAGTATGAGAGCTCTTTTGCAATAGCAGTAAGGTATTCAACTATGTAAGAAACCTAGAATCAAATTTCAAGATCAAATTCCAAGATCATTTATCTTGAACGTCATACAAACTCATATGCAGTTAAATTTTTCATCGGTGCTAACAGATGATGACATGAGCAAGCAAGTAATGAGCAGTACAAAGCAAGCATACCACAACATGATCATAACAAAACTGTACAGCACCACAAGCCATAGATGACAGAGGGGAATGGTGGCAGCAGTCATATGTTCAGAATGACTGGACATGCTACAATGGAACAAACAACTTACTGCCAATATGAAGTGCGACACTGACTGTCATACTGATAGTCCTGGGTTCAAATTCTGAAGAAGGTAGTAATGTTTGTAAGGGTATAATATCTGTGTGGCTCAAAATACAATAGCAAACTAAAATTCTTCTCTAGACGTTGAGTGGTAGGGAAAGAGGGGTCAGAGACACCCCCCTTGGACTGTCTCTACGATGTTCTACCCCAAAATTGGAGTGGAAATACACAGTTAGTGCGGTGAGACTATATGTGTATGATCAATAGTAAAATTCTCATATCTTGCCTACTTCTATCTGTATCTGGCAGTATGAAATAAAGGGATACTGAAATTGTGTTTAAAATAACAATTCAATGAACCTTGCTATATATGGAGCTCTGCAACAGGTGGATGGTGACAGTATCTATGCTGTTCATTGGTGGAAGAGGTTCGAATTCGCATAGCGACTCCAAGAATGGACCTTCACTCATTGGCTACAGTTTGCCTTCTTCACCGAATCATGTTTTTTGTTTTATCAGAATGGATGAAAATTGGTGTATATTATAAGAAACAAACATCCCTCAACCATATGTGGACAAATACAAGTTAGCAGAGTAAAATCTATGATCTGAGAAATGATTCAGAGCATTGTCTGGAACCACTCAACATTGTGGATGGCACTATGAATCATGTCATATGTGCATCAGTCTTTGTAGACCATGCACACCCATATATGCAGATTTTATTTTCAATGTAGATGATACATTTTCCAGCACAACAATGCAGGATATCACACAACTAACAATGTACGAAATAGCTTGAACAGCATGAGGAAGACTTTATTGTACTTCCTTAGTTCCCAGATAGTCCACTCTCCCTACCTCAGACTTACACCCAATTACGAATCAATGGAATAACCTAGATCATTTACTCTATAGATTTTTTGCCTTGCATCTTCCAGCAGATCTGCAGCATGCACAATTCCATAATTCTGCAAACACTTTTCAGCATCTTATCAATACTCTCTCAGTCCAAGAAGCTACTATCCGTGCTGTAAATGGTAGTTATTCTGGATATTAAGGGGTGGTCAAATTAATGTCACTTTATCATGACAAAGAAATTTCACATTGGTTCGAAATAATTCACTTACCTTTCCCACTTGTTTCAGGTTCTGAACTATATCCAATTATATACTCTTGTGTATCTAAACAATATAAATTATAAAAGTTAAAAAATAAAATATTATAAATTAAATAATATAAGAATATTCGAATGTAATATGCACAAATAAAACATGAAACAGAAATGTTTTGCAACATGACATATTTTGAATTCACAGTTATTTCAGATAAATATAAAACTCTGGACACAGAAAAAAAAATTATCATTTGAATACATAAAAATTCAATTATTACCATTAGAAGAGTCAGCTTTATGAAGCGATTTGAACATAGTTTTATACCAGTTATGCAAATTTTCTTTCTTAACACTCTAAAAAAAAGGATTATTTTATCATAAAATAAACATAACTGTACAATGAGAAAAACTATTTAAAATGACATACAAGAAAATCTTCAGTAAAATTTTATGGGACGTCTTATTTTTCACTTATATCTGATACATTATTATTAATTTAAATAAAACTTAAGTTGAATATATTTCAATTTCAGTTATTTTTTTTTTCTTTAATATTTTGCTCTCTAATTCCTTTCTACAAAGATTATATGTAAAAAGCAAATTTTTCAGTAAAATACAAATATTTTATTTCAAGTTCAATACTTAAAAACTTCTCTCAAAATTTAGTGCTAGTAGATAATTTTGTTCATAATAATAACTATTTCAAAAAGAAGAAAAGAAGGAAAAAGAAAAATTATTTTGCATGGATAATGATGGAGCAAGAAAATTTATGTGGTTGTACATCAGGAAAGATATGAGATAAAGTAGTCTAATATAACTTACATAAAAAAAGCTTGAAAAGCTACGAGGCGTATTCGAAAAATAAGTACCGTTTTGAAAAAAAAAAA